GACTTTGAAAACCAAGTTATGTAACACATTTTATAATAATTATGCTTGCTATCTTACATAGTTTGTTGCACTTTTAATTCTCTACCAACTTGTTTTCTTCTTAATTAAAATGATTTATGGTTACAGAAAAAAATGTAAGAAAAATGAGAAGCCTAATGAAAACAAGTGCACAGCTATTTGAAAAATCTATCTAAAAGAGAAAAGTTTATGCTTGATCACATTTTAGCCAAAAAAATTTCAATTAACACCATCTATACCAATATTCAACATACTGAAAATGATTCTGAGCATCAGAGAGTCCCTGGAAGTGGTAGGTATAATTTAAACTAAATTTCTAAATTATTGAGTACTTTTCTATGATTGAGAATTTTGTAATTTAATACAATATTAAATAAATCAACAATATATCAACCCTCGGAATTAGGAAAAATTGCCAAATGCCGTATATATATATATGGAAAATTCCACGGCAGAAAATGAAAAATAGTAAAATATTATATTATTATATTAAATTTATTCTCTTTTTTATTAACTTTTAGTAAATGTATATTGATGTAGACACATGAAAGTTTATTTAAAATATACCTTTAATACTAAAATTAATTTATTTAAGTCATTTTTACGCCTTCAAAAGTTACGGTTTTTTCTCATTGTCGCATGATAAAAAAGTTATCATTGTAAAATGTTATTTTAACCATGAATTTTTTTACATAATTAGAATTAATTTTAAAAATGGAGCTAACATGTTTAAATTGTTGCTGGTCAAATTTAATACTTCATAAAATATTTTTTTTTTATGTTATGTAAGTTAAAAAAACATGATAAAGTTTTGTTTTTTTGAAAATTTAGTTTAAAAATTTAGTTTTTTAATAATATATGCAAAAGAATATTAAATGTTATGTCTTTACATTTAAAGTTTTGAATAAAGATAATAATATATGCAAAAGAATATTAAATGTTATGTCTTTACATTTAAAGTTTTGAATAAAGATACTTAGTTGAAGCACATTTTTATTTTAAATTTGTGTAACGTAAGTTAATACTATATGCATTTACTAAAGTTCTGGCACTTTTTCATTAAGTTTTGTTTACAAAATAATTTACGTCATTAAGTAATTCGCATTGGTAGGACAAGATTCTAACTGAAACTTTTTATATTAGGAGAATTTAGAAAAAAAAAATATTTTTTTTAATGCTAATTAAAATTATCTATAATATTGCTTTTTTATTTGTTTATATATTCTTATTTTATTTGACATAAATACACATAAATAAGAATAAGAATTGAATAAATTTTTGTATTTAGACATAAGAAAAAAAAAAAAAATTATTTGCTATTCTCCTAATATAAAAAAAACCAGTTAGAATCTTTTTTATTTTTGTTTTAGTAAAACAAACTGTCTGTAAATGCAATTATGGGTCAAAAATATTTTTTGTCAAAAATATTTCAAAAGATTTACAAATACTTAGCAGCATTTTAAAGATTCAACCTAATCAAAATAAGGCAATATGCATAAACGTAAGTAAAAACTTCGACAAACTAAAGATTTTCTTATTTAAATGACTCAAATAAGTATTAAAAAAGTTGTAATACTAAAATAATTTTTTAAAGTTGCTCTTAGCCTTGCGTAAAAACTGTTTTCCATTAGATAAATTGCATAAATGTTATGAAAAATCACTCAGGAAGAGCCACCAGTTTTTTAAAACTTTCATTGTTAATTATTTTTAATGAATGAATACTTTTGCAACTCTTTTATTACGTAACTCTAACTTTGAATAATATATATAAAAAATCCACAATAAACAAGCCTTCCCAGGAAACACTTGTGATATTTCGTTTTGTATGACCACACGCGAGTTTTGTATTTTCGACAACTTGGTCAGGGCTGTTTGCAAGTTTTATAATATTAAACATTGCATAAAAAGTTTCAAAAACAAAAAAACCAAACTAACAAAATAAGAAATATAAATAAATTTAAATAGAAAAAAATACTATTTTAATTACTAATTTAAATAATTTACTAATTTAAATAATTTGTGTACTGTTTTTATTGTTGTTGTTTCTTTAGAGTGGTTGTTACATTCATCAACAAAATTAGATAATACAAAGCAAAAAAAAAAAAAAAAACAGCTTTAAGTCTACAACAAAAAGAATGATTTTCTGAAAAAGTTATAAAAAATAGAACAATAAACTTACAACTACAAAAGTAATAACACTCTAGTAACTAACTGCATTATAAAAGTAATAACACTATAATAGTGTTATTACTTTTATAACGCACTTATAACTTTTATAATTCATTCTTTGTTTAAACAACATAAGTAATCCCAAATTGAAGTAGAAAAGCATCTAGAAAAAAAGAGTGGATATTCAAACAATATTTAAAACTTAAGGAACTTAAACAACTTAATAAAAACGTACTGTATAAAAAGTTTAGCATTATCAAAAACGTTACTAATGGTCCGTAAAAGCATGCATTAATTTTAAAATCTACCCATAAAAGTTTTTTATTGGTTGATTTTAAAATTAACGCACGCTTTTAGGGACTTTTAGTAACGTTTTTGATAACGCTAAACTTTTTATAAAGTATGTTTTTATAAAGTTGTTTAAGTGATTTGTAAAAATTCCTGAAGTTTTTAATAATATTTGAATATCAGGCCTGGTCAGGAAGCGGGAGCAATTGCTCTTGAATACTGACCACGGAAATTATATTTAGTTGCAAAAAACTGGCCAGGTTTTTTAGTTGTTTTGAGAATATTTAAGTTTATGTACAAAACAAAAAATTTTGGTTTTACGGACAAACATGGAAACATAAAAAACTTGAATGTTCTCAAAACATCTTGGTGCGGAAGAATAAAAAGAATATTCGCGAACTCTAAAAACCCGCCAAATTAACGAACAAACTAATTCTATTGGTTCAAAAAATACGCTGACTAAGCAAAATAAAGTTCTAGAGTATTCTCTGAAATGTTTTAGAAATTGTATTATTCACAATTTGTTACGCTATAAGATTTCTAGCATTGATTGTTGGCTCATTCTCGGAGCCACATCTGCATAGCCGTGAATCTTATAAACTATTATTATTTGTTTACATAAATAATTGTTTTAAATATATATTATTTAAATTGTCAAAATTCTGAAAGTTCATTATAAATTGTAGATTTTATTAGTATATACTTATTTAAAGAGAATGTATTTTTTTTGTAAATGTAATTTTGTGTATCTGTTTTTTATTGATTTAATTTGTAAACAAAGACTTAAATAATTGCATTTTAATTATTTTATTGTTATTAATTATATGATTATTAAATGTTATTTAATAATCATTAAATGTTATTTAATGATTATTAAATAACATTTAATAATCATTAAAGTTAATAAAACTAATTATGTAGCAAACATATAAGAAGTTTCTGGTTACTAAACACTAACTATGCATACAAAGTAACTCGCGGATGAACAAGCACCGCGCCTGAGGTCACAACAGAACATAAATATATATAGCAAGTTATTAGATATAAAAAAAAGTTTCTAGATATTGGTTCTCTAAATCTAATTATTTTCGCTTAAGTTGTCATTCTTAAAAACTCATTATACTTTTTTCTGCTTTAAATACTAATTAAATACTAAAAATTAAAAAGCCCACTCATTAAACATCATCAGCAAATTATGAAGCAGTTTCGCTCCCTCATCATAAAAGTATTTTTAACTTTTTTAGCTAGTAAATTTAATTTCTATAGTAATTCAATGATTTAATTATTTCATTTGTTTATTTTACTAAAAAGAATTGTTTCAAATATGTTAAACTTTTCAAACTACGCTAAACATAAAATATTTATTAAATAAATTAACTTTTTTATTTATAAAATAATTTAGCTTAGATAAAACTAAAACTTTCAAACTTTGATAAATAAAGAACATTTTTAAACAAACGTAAGATGTTACTTTATATAAAAAACGTCACTTAATTTTATAAAAAAATTATAAAAGAGCGATGATTCGAAAATATTTGTTCTAAATGTATTTTATTTTGCTTTAAGTTTTTTTGCTTTATAAGATATTTTATTTTCCTAATTTTTTTTTTTTTTTTGTAATTGTCTCTCATCGGTCCAATTAATCTTTTGTGCATTTTTTTTTTTGCTTTTTGAAACGTTCTCAAAAAGACTAAAACTTCTGGCCAGCTTTTCTCAACTAAATATTATTTCTGTGGTCAGCAATCGAGAGCGACTTTTTTTTTGACTTATCAAATTTTGTTGCCGAAAATAACAAACATTATAAAGAAACAAAAAAAATAAAAACAGTACACAAATTATTTAAATTATTGTTATTATTATTTTCTATTTAAGTCTATTTTAATTTCCTATTTTGTTATTTTGCTTTCTTTGTTTTTGAAATTTTTTTCAACAACACATATAATAAAATTTGCAAATGGCCGTGACCAAGTTGTCTAAAATAAAATTCTCATGCATGGACATCAAGACAAAAAACCGCACGTTTCCTGGAAAGACTTAATAAATATCACTCTTTAACGTAAGTTAAATATATAGTATCAAAAAAACAAATATATAGTTAAGTTTATAGTATAAAAAAAACTTTATTTTTCTTGGTCGGTCACCTGTGATAAAATTTTATATATTTTTTAAATTGGCATAGAATTCTTAACATCTTGTAGAAGTTTCTAATACAAACCGCTTTACAGATTTGTAGAAATCTGACCTAAAATTTGAAGCAATTTTTTTACCTTGTTTTCTGTGTAATATAGGTTAAGCGGCATTTCCAGTAATAAGTTCGCCCTTTTTAGGTCAGACTTGAAACTTTTTTAGGCAAATATTTAATTAGTTGTTGCACGTGTAACGTAAGTTAAAAATGGAATTGTTCATATATATATATATATATATATATATATATATATATATATATATATATATATATATATATATATATATATATATGTGTGTGTGTGTGTGTGTGTATATATTGTATATATATTTATACGTACATAAGTAATAACTTCCCAATTATAATAACCAAATCTTCAGTAACAGTAAATATTTGATCTTCTTCATCATACAAGAATGGCTTTTTTATACTTGAGATGACCTGAAGTCCATCGTCAATTAGTTCAGAGCAAAGCTCGATATTACTACCATCTTGCCAACATTTGTGTAACATTTTGTTTAAAAACTTAAATATAACTCTAACACCATTACCAATTAGTGATCTTCTGCTCAATAAAGAAGAGTCTTTTATGCTAAAAAAAATTTAAATTTTCAAAACTTTATAAAAATATTTTTAAAATAAAAAGTTAATATTAACTATAATAATTAATAATACTGCTAATATAATATTAATAATAATACTAAAAATAATAATAATTTTATGTGCAGAATATATGAGAGCATATAATTTTTTTAAAATATTTAGAAGAGCATATAATTTTCTTAAAATATTTAAAAGTAGTGCTTTGCTATCGTATGCAAGAATTTTTGAGGAAAATGTGGTTGAGAGTTTAATACACTACAATATGATAGTTTAATACACTTGCTTATTTAGTACATATTGCACTGTCTAAATAAAAGTAAAGCATACCTTTTTCACACCTCACAGACACTAGCATACACACAAAAACACAATCAGTCTCAAAAGAAAAACAGAAGTTATAATCATAAAGCTAATAAATTATGTTAAAATGCTTATATATATATATATATATATATATATATATATATATATATATATATATATATATATATATATATATATATATATATATATATATATATATATATATATATATATATATATATATATATATATATATATATATATATATATATATATATATATATATATATATATATATATATATATATATATATATATATATATATATATATATATATATTAGGGATAATTTGATGAACCATTTTCCTTCATGAGCTACCTTATCTAATAAAATAACTTCTTTGGTCATGTGACAGGCACAAAACGCATGTTTTTTCATTAGTTTCAACTAGCATTAATTTTAATCTTATAAAATAAAAATTATACTAAAGAACAATAATATATATCATAGTTGTCTACAATATCTTGTTTAATTAAGCTAAATATTATTAGGCAACTTAATCTAGTGTTTTTAGTTTTTAAACTGTATGACAATTTTATTTCAGTGATTCCATCACATTCATATTTCATGTAATCTTTTTGTTTCCATCACATTCGTATTTCATCTAATCGTTTTGATATTATCACATTCATATTTCTTGTGATTGTTTTGTTTTTCATATTAACTACAAATTTGAAATTATCTTTGCAAGTTAATATTTAACTTCTCAAGTTGAGTTTAATTTGGACATTTAATTTTAGCTTGTTGCTAAAGGTGAGTGAAAAGGAAAGTTCTTCAAATGTTCCATTGACATATCAAACTGCAATATGGTAATTGGTCAACAGGAGAACAATCTAACAAACAATGTTCTTTCAACAATAGTTGATGTGCTAATAACGTTTGTACACTAATACAAAGCCTTGAAACTAACAGTTTTAGATAACCATTGTCACATCGTTGAAATGTTGCTTCTCTTTATCTTTTCTATAAATACTATAATGGGCACTGCTCAAGCATCACTTATGCCATCACTAAAATTCATTCTCATGATACTCGTAATTCAATCTCATCTTTAAACTGTGTTTTACTAACTTTTCATTCAAATCTTATCCATTTACTGTGATTGTTTCTAAGTGTTCTAGAAATTCTTTTTCATCTAGTTTTTTCACTCAAACATCAGTTCTTTGGAACTTGCTCCCTTCACCTTGTTTTCCTGATTCATTTATCTTTTAATATAATTTATTCAGAAAATATTAGGTCATAAAAAAAAGCATTTAACCACAACTGTGAATTTTTTAACAATAAAAACTATTTTATAAAAACTTTTTTAATTAAAAGACTTAAAATTAAATATCATTTTAAAATTTAAATTTAGTTTCAAAGGAATGTAAAATAGTTTTGCAATTTTAAGTAAAGAAGTTTTTTCCTTATCATCTGCTAAGTTATCATAGATTATGAAAGATCATATGTGAAAGCAAGTTAAATAGCTTTTTTTTTTATAAAAAGGGAAAAGTGTTTTTGTTTAAGAGAATTCTTTTCACAAATGTATTTTAAAGTTTTTTGTTTCTTATTAATTCAATATCATCTAAATTTCTTTTGACATAAAACATTTAAAACATAAATTACGTTTACAAATACCTTGTTGGTAACTAATAATCTATATAAATTTTTATAATCATTATTAAAAATACTACATTAAATACATAAAAGATAAAATAAATAAATTGTGATAAACAAACAAATGATTATGTTAAGTATAAGATTGTTTTAAGTAATAAATTATAAGGAAATATAATCTTTTTTAAAATAGAAAAATTTAGACTTTAAATTTATGAATATTTTTTGTTAAATTAGTTTAAATAATTTTTAACGATGTTTAAAATTAAATTTAATTGCAACGTAATACTTTAAAATACTTTCAAAATATTAATAGTGTTCAGTCTCCTGTAACAAATAAGATCCTAATAATGGGTTATTCCATATTAAATCACCTAGTTTTTTGAAAGTTCCCCAGGGTACCATCTCAGATTTGCTTTAAACTTTGACCACACACAGATCTTATGTAAAAAATACAATCCAAAAAATTTCAGCTCGATTGACCAATTTGTTCAAAAGTTATGATTGAATTAAAAATTACCGAAATCCGAAAAATTTGTGTATCAGGAGCTTACAGCAGTTTTTTTACATTTTTGACAAACCATAACTTTTTAAATAAAGATGGTGATCACCTGAAATTTTGTAGGGTAATAGTTTTTCACCCAAATAATCCATTATTGCAGTTGTTTTTGACTGATTTTTTACAGTTTTTAAGTTATTGTACCTTAAAGTTACTAAATATTGCAACATTATAAATATTTTTTTAAACTTTAACGTGTTACAGTTTCATACTTACTTACAGAAAGTGGATTTTTTTGTTACCTTTTTGTACTTAGGGTCACCACTTGTTAGAATAATTAAATCTATGCATTAAAAATTAATTTAGCACATGCAGCAGCCTATTTAAAAATCCCTTTTTTATTAAATTATGATAAACTACATCAACTTTGCTGGCATAGAAAGTAGCGTAAACAGTTAAAATAAATTATGAAACTTTTTAATGTTGAGGTTCTATGTATAGACAATCACCAAAAAAAATTTAAAGACCTATACTCTATCTTATGACATGATTGTAGCCTTTTGAGAGTGATGATATTTTCAAAAGGAGAACAAAAAAATACCACTTACCACATACAAAATTTTTATCTTAAATTTTATACAAACTATACTGTAAAAATTCAAAATTGCATTCAAAGAGTAAGATAGTCAGTTAAAAGAAAAAGTATGTATACATGAAACTAATTAGCTTATTTCTGATTTATGTAACTCATAATACTGTCATAGTCATTACCAGCAAGAATATAGTCACGAGCACTTATACTTTTAATCAATAAAACACTTATTTGACATATTATCTTGTCAAATGGAACCCAACACTGACTTGATCGTGCATTGTTTGTCCATTTTAAATTTAATTTGTTTCTTTGCATAAACTTCACATTAACGTCTTGGTTTTCATTACAAATATCAACCGCAAGCCCTACATACCATTCTTCATCATAAAAGCATGCAATATATTTACCGGGTTGAAAATTTGAATGATTTTTTTAAATCAAATTAACAACATGAGTATCATAGACAGTATAACTAGAGATGGTTACTTTCAGTCACATGTGAACTTTTTATTTAGTAGCGGAGTTGCAAAAGCGCTTTCACCAAGAAAATTTGGAGCAGTTTAAGGTCGCTACCAAAAAAAATCAAATGCGCTACTCTGCTACCATTTAAATTTAGAAATACCATTTGAAGTTGTTTAAGTTACAGACTTTTTTATTTACTGAAAATGAAGTGAAATAAAAATGATCCTTCAAAACATTAAAAATATCTTGTGTTATCAAAATAATCTCAAACACGTGCAGTTTGATTTAAAAACATTGAAGAAGCAGCTTTAATATAAAGTGCCTGCAACTAACTCAATGTATTATTTATATTATGCATACATATGTACTAATCTAGACTTATCTATCATCTCATTGAAATAATTTTTATCTAAAGTTAAACATCAACCTTTAAAAATAAAGTTGCACAACAACCACAATTTTCAACGAAAACAAATTGTGACAAATTATAAACAGTTTAATGTATTTGATGTTCTCTACATTTGAAATTTCTGCATGTAAAATATTGCTCGATCTCTTTTTCATTAGTTTTTTCAAAATACGATAAGAACAATAAGACTTTTATAGTTGTTGTTTTTATTATTAAAAACAATATCAAGCAGTCAAGTGTCAAGATGTTGAAAAGCTCTTCGCAGACATCATGTCCGACCTGTATTAAAAGTATAAATATGAGAATGTGTAGAAACAATTTATTTCAAAAACTGTCAACATATAACTGTTTCTTGTTTCTGATAATATTTTGCAAATTAAAAAATGTTGTAGTCAATTAAAATTTGGTATTTTTACTAGGTTTTTTTAATCATCAGGTTGATGCAACTACAGACAATGGTTCAAACTATGTTAGTGCATTCAACCAGTTTGGTTTAGTTGAGTAGGAAAAACAGAGAGAGATGGTGGATCCTCAAATGGTCAACTTGACGCCTTTCTTGTTGGAGAAAACTCAATAAAGTTGCAATAATGATATCATTCTATTAAAGCACTGTCATTGCCCAGCTCAGACAATGAACGTGCTGGCTTGTAAGGATACCTAGATAGTGCCAAGTTTGAATTTGAATCCAAGGCCATTGTTTTTAAAGTCAGTTACAAAGACTTATAAGATATGGAATGCCTAAAATAGAAGGATTGTAATGGCAAATAATATCAAGGCAGCTCTATGGTTGGCAACACCAGGGACCACCAGTTTAAACTCTGTTTATGATGCATTAAAATACCTATTAATTAAAGAACATAATATTTTATATTTTTCATTGAATAGTTGCAAAAAAAAATTAGTACCAAAAAATGATTAAGTGGAAAAGTGGTAGCGGTTTCTGGTTCCCAAAGATGCGGAAGGTAGCGGTAGCACTTTCACATATTTGGTAGCCCAGCTCTAATATATATATATATATATATATATATATATATATATATATATATATATATATATATATATATATATATATATATATATATATATATATATATATATATATATATATATATATATATATATATATATACATATATATATATATATATATATATATATATATATATATATATATATATATATATATATATATATATATATATATATATATATATATATATATATATGATTTAAATGTTGACATCTTGCATGAGAATATATATGTTAAAAATATAAAAACACCAATTAATATGAGTTCTCTCAATACAATTGTTTATTAATTAACAATATTGTATTGTTATTAATACTACTCAATACTATTGTATATATTATATATATATATATATATATATATATATATATATATATATATATATATATATATATATATATATATATATATATATATATATATATATATATATATAATGAAAAAAACATTTTTATATAATAAACAAATATAAAAAATAATCAAATTCAAGAAATTAATTGTCAACTATTTATTAGAAATCATGCGTTGTACATTTGAGGAGTGCATTAAACTGTGAAAGTGAAACAATTATTCATCAAAGTTATATATAAAAAAAAAGTAATATAAGTATATTTGAAAAATTACCTTGAACTCAAATCAATTTCTTTGGAATTGTTTACTTTACTTTCTTTTTCGGTAAACACTCCATATTTCCGGGACATGAGTGATAAAAACCGAGCATACACATATATCTTGGCTTTAAGTTTACTCATTGGTAAAGAGGTATCAACACAGTTCCTTAGAAGAATTAGTTGTTTGTGGGAAACTTGCTTACAAAAAATATTTAACTCTGATAATGTAGCATTGGGACCCCACGTCCACGACTCAAATACTTGGGTTGGTTCAAATAAATTCCAAGGATCTTTTCCATCATTTATTGTTTTTTCAACTTCTTCACAAGAAGCACAATTGCATCCTTGAGAAGGACCACATGTGCTACTGCAACATGTGCACTCTAAACAATTCTCTCCACAATAATAATGACCATTTGGTGCTTTGTATGTTGAATGACCAAGTCGGTTTAAGTATATTTTAGAACCATTGTATATCTCTTTTCTAATAACAAGTTCATTATACCATTGCCTTAAAACACTTTCACTGAGTAATTCCTAAAAGAAATCCTATATAGAATTATTTGTAAATTTAAAAACTAATAAAAACTTCAACTCCTTTTTCTCTGAATTTAGCAGCACTAAATTCAGTAGTGTAAATACAATAACTGCTTTCACATTAGAAAGAAGAAAAACTTGTTTGCTTTTAAAGCAAAATTTGCTAAATTGTTATTGTTTTTAAAAAAAAATTACTAAACTAGTTCAAATTAAAAGTGACTTTCTGTAAAAATCAGGCAGAGCTCAATAGTGACCTTCTTCAAAGTTGCTAATTTTTTAATAACGTAAATCCACTCAATTACAGATGATACCTAATTACAGATGGTTTTATAAAAAGCTATGTATCGTTTATATTATATCCAATTTATAATTTATTTTTTTTGATAAATAAACTTAAACACAAGACAAATCAAACAATAAAAAAACAACTAAAAAACATATTTACAATTGTGTTAGTTTTCAACTTGAAATCTAAGAAAATTAAATTAACAAAAAAATGACAAAAAAACAACTTAGTTTTGCAAAAAAAACTGCAATAATGTTAATATTTCTTTAAATATATTCAAAAAGTCAAAAGCTCACAAAAAAAAGATACCTAATTCCGGATACAGGTAATTATTATTTATTTACGCTTAATTGTGTGTAAAATGTTCCGGAGATAATATCCTGCTATGCTTAAGGATCTTATTGAAAAAAATTCATTTAAACCTGAAAATGGCCGTAGTAGCTTTAGCAGTAGTGGTTTATTTCCACTTGATCGATCGAAAATTTCTTCTGAAAAAACTGCAATAGGTAAGGCTTTTGAAGCTGTTGAAGATGAGAACATTAATAGTTTGTTTTAGCCTATAATCTACACTCCTAAAAAATCATTAAGTAGAATGTCAAACGGAGAAGTGTTACTTAGAAGTTTAGATATGATAAGTGAAACAGTTAAAAAAGCTAGAAAAGATATCAACCAATCAGTTTTAATGTTGCTCAAAGATTAACATACACCTTTAGATAATAGAAAAGAGAAAAGCGAAAGAATTAAACAGTCAGCCAATTATAATATGAACTCAGCCGAGGCTATAGCTTCAACGAAGCCAAACAAGAATCGAAAAAACAAAAACTAGACAAATAAGCTGCCAAAAAACTAGAGAACAAAATAAAATTGCTGCTGCGTCTCAAAAAAAGAAAATGCAAAAAAAAAAGATACAAAAAAAACTATTGAAAGCAAGTCTAAAACAAGCCAAAAGCTTGTAAAATAACAGTATGGTTAATTAATTTAATGAGTTTACATGTGTGTTTTTTCTATTTTGTATCCATCCGAAAATAGGTTAATACTACCCTAATTCCAGATAAAAACAAGTTTTTTAAAAACTTAAGTTTAGTGAAATTTAAAATTAAAATAATATTATTTTTTTATATTGTTCGATTCCTCTTGTCGCTGCACATAGTTTAGTGTTTTTATTTTTTCAAAATTAGTTATAATAAGCAAGATATTTAATTTTTACTTCAAAACGTCCGTAATTAGGTGGTTTTATAGTATGTTGTTATTATTCATACTAGAAGCTCAATTCCAAAAGTTTTCCAAAAATTATTATTGGTTTTCTAGATATTAGATAACGAAGTTTGACTAAATTTTTAGAAATATTGACCAAATGGTGTTGAAGGTATATTTAAACTCGAAAAAAAAAACAAATAAAAAATTTAGAATGAGTATTTTACTTGGTAAAGAAAATTTTTTTTCTTGATTAAGTATCATGCTTCAAAATACGCAAAAAATGATTTTTTTTGTCACTTGTGATGTTTGTTGTTATTCAAAGCCATGAATACCACATAATTTTTTTTTTTTTTGATATTATAACTCTTTATCTAGTTAAGTACCTAAAAATATAAAAACACCTATGGGGAAGTAAAGGCTTAGCCGCAAAATCAAATTCAAAAACGAAATTTTAATCTTTCGATGCATTGATTGTGACATGATAATGGTTATAGCTATGGGTTCACTGCAAAATACAATTTAAAAAAACTTGTATTGACATTTAATCTACCTTATTTATAAAAAATAATTATTAATAGTGCAATATGCGGTAGTGGTGTATTGGTAAAACACTTGCTTCATAAGCGAGAGGTTCCGAGTTCGATCCCCACCACGTTCCTGGTAGTACCGCGCTCAACTTGTTTCTCCGCGCAGCAGGCTTGTTCGTCAAGGTTCGTGTTTCAGAGTTATAGAGTTGAGAGAGGGTTATAACCACTAATAAGTAGCCTCCTCGTCTGTAGTGGCCTTCTCGGCCTTGAGGAGGTGAATAACAAAAAAAAAAATTTAGTTCAGAAAAAATAACTTAAATACTATAGATGTTTTCTAAGTGCTTCTATATTTATTTATAAGCGCTTGAATGCAGTATATTTTCTTCTTACTCTGTTATATTTTTTGAGTATCATTTTTACTCTGTTTCCTGAGTATAATTAATTTATATTATAAAAAATCTCTTTTGCATAATTATAGTTAGTAAAGAATTTTTAATTTTTTCAAGACATTTTGATTAAATGTCTTCAAAAAATATTTCTTATGTGTTGTTGATTTGAACAAAATAATTGTGGACCTTACATGAGACCTACTCCAAATGTAGATGAAATGCTTGAAACAAGCCAACTCACTAAAAATATACAACCACATCTTACAAACCTGAAAGTAAACTAATATTATCCTATTTTTGTAAAAAACCTTGATTAAATAAATTTGTAACTGTAACTTGTAAATCCTAATAATTAGTTTTTATTAATTAGTTTTTGAATCAAAATAAAGGTTGTAAAATAATCAAATTATTTTAAAGTATTAAAGAGTTATAAGGAAGCTGGTGATTGGAATGAAAAATCTCTAATTGAAGATCGTTTAAACAGAAATTTTAACAATACAGAGAAAATATGCGCATATCACTACACATTAGGAATAGGATATAAACAAGGACAAAAATGTATGCACCCTATTCACAAAATACAAACAGGGAAGAAAGCAACATTAGGGCAACCTGCACCAATATCTATGACACTTAAAAAATTTTCCCATTATAATTCATACTTTCCAATCGGTTCAATTATATGCAATCGCTATCGAAAAGAATACTATTCCGAGACAAGGAAAAAAGAAACAAAAATAAACTGAACACGAATCTACATTAACAGCTACTGATATTGATTTTATACCAGATGAACCTGGGACCAGTTCAATTATATTTCAGTTTAAAAAAAAATTGAGCTTATTAATGAATTCACAAATGAATCAAACGCAAAAGAAATAGAAACATATGAAAGAAACTTTCAGGTTAATCAAAAGAGTTTTTAAAAGTGCTTGAAGGTGATGAAAATACTAAAACAGAAATTTCAGATGAAACTGAAAAACTTGTAGAAATGTATAAAAAACAGTGATGCAACAAGTCAACTTATAATTTTGGTATTTATTGATCATAATAAATACACAAAGCAATTTTTATGCAACACATTTAAGTACACAAAATAAAAATAGGACTACCACAAACAAATTTATTTACAAGAAGCAGACTTTCAATTCCAAAATTTGAACATTTTTTAGATTTTATCTTTTTAAGTGGATTGTTACAAGACATTTGCTATGGTATTTTCAAAATAAAGTATGGCAGTGGTGATGTTGAAACTCTAGCTAGTGCCATTTTAACAGCAAACAAGTCATACCATTGCTTTATATAGGATGAATGCATTTGCAACACTTATAGAATTTGCAAATATATTCAATGAAACTTGAAAGATCAAAAAATTATTTAAAAACTAAATATAAACTTCAAGGTGTTTCCTCTGTTGCTATCTCTATTGCCGAACCAGTTCTAAATCAGTTTCGCCTAGATGAGCCAGAAATAGTAAATATTTTTGAAAAATCGGATAATGCTAACTGTTATCATGCTAACTATTCAGTTGAATCTATGTACAAGCTCTGTAAAAATAAGAAATTTGATGCAATAGTGTTTCTAATAGTTAAACTCTGTTGACAAGTGGATCTCATTTTATTCCTAATTGTCAAATCCTGCTCTGTTAAGAAGTTTGGTAGAACTGTGCCTAATATTGATGAACTAATATTGATGAACTCGGCTGTTATATCCTTACAAGGGAATGCAAATGGGTAGCGAGAGTATTTGTCTACTACCACGAGGATATATTTATTAGCTGAGGTGGGTTGTAAAGGTCCAACAAAGTCCATAGATAAGCGTTCCCATGGTCTCGTTGCCTGAATAAGACGACCAGTTGGAGGTTTGTAGAAGCGCGGTTTGAGTTTGTTACAGCTTGTACCTTGGCTTGTTAGTTGTTTAATTTTAGTGGTAGAGTAGGGTAGATTTCGGGTTTTGCAATAATGTATCATTTTTTTAACTCCAGGATGACATAGTTGGGAATGAATATTGTAAAAGGTTTTCTTGGTGTTTTGAATTGAGTAACATCGAGAAAGGGCATCGATATTTTGATTTCCTGGTCTGTATGAAATTGTATAATTAGTATCTGCTAATTCTAAACGCCATCAAGTTTTTAATTTTTGTTGAAATCTATTTATTGAAAATAAGGGAAATGGATCTTTGGTCTGTAATTATAATGATATATGGTATTGAATTAATTAGGTGTTTCCATCTTCTACAGCATTCTACAATGGCAGCTGCTTCTTTCTCGACAATTGCGTGTTTTTTTTCAGCATTTGTTAGTGTTCTTGAGAAGAAGGCCACGGGTCTGCCTAGTTGAAGTAACGCTCCTCCCAAGGCTGTGTCAGAGGCATCTGTTTCAATAGTTAGTGGAACTTTGAAGTTGGGGGAGGCTAGACAAGCTTCTGCAAATTTAATTTTGAGCTTTTTAATAGCTTCTTTTGCCTGTGGGGTCAAGCCCCTGGTTTGAAAGTTGTCTCTTGCTTGAGTAAGCGGTAGAGTAAACTCGGTACAATTGTGCATCCATTTTGCGTAGTAGGCGAATAAACCTATCATTCAGTTTAATTCTTTTAAAATTTTTAGTTCTGGCAAATTTATAAGAGCTTCATATCTTTTAGGGTCGGGTTTTAAGGTTCCATTTTCAATGATATGGCTTAAGAATTCGATGTGAGTTTTTATATCGTCAGGGTAAGCATATGTATTTTCTAGTTTACTATTCTGAATAAATTCATCAATAACCTGCTGAAAAATTGGTACAGGATTTGTGCAACCAAAAGGTAAAAGTTTAAATTCGTATAGTCTACCATTTGCTTCGAATGCAGTTAGCTTGTAATCTTCCAGTCGTATTTTTACCTGATGGTAAGCTGATTTGAGGTCAATTGTACTGAAGACTTTATGAGCAGCTATCTTAAGTATCAAATTGTCGATTTGAGGTGTTGGGTATGAATCGAGTGAAGTGTGTAGATTGGTTGTATTCAAATAATCAATCACAAGACGATTTTTGTTTCCTGATGATACTACAAAACATTGTGCACACCAAAGACTACGGCTCACTTGGATTATATCTTAAAGATACGGTTTATCTCGTCTGTTATGAAGGAGTTATTTTTAGGAAACCGTCCTGATGTTGTGGTGACTAGCTTAATTTTGTCAATATCCACTCCATGTATTAATGCGTAAGTAGTACACTTCATGCTCTTGGTTGCCAGACATAACTTTAAGCTCTTTATTTCCTTTAAAATTGATTGTAATTGAGGTATGTTGTGTTAACATGTCCATTCCGATAATTACCGTTGCTACCAACGTTGAAGAAGTTCTGATGTATAAACGTTTTATCGGAGCCAGTATCTATCAGTGCCTGTGTTATATTTTTGTTAATGGTGACGTTAATTAGTCTACCAAGTGAGTTGATTGCTGCTATGACCGTAGATACTATTGCGTTATTGTTTTCTTCCTGATATTCTTTAACAACTGCTGCTTTAGTGTAGGTTTTATTTTGTTTCTTTTAGAGACAGACAGTTGCCCAGTGGCCCCTTCTTTGACAATGTGTACAGGTGGAATTTTGGGCTGGGCATTTAATTTTTGGATGTGGATCATTACCATACCAGTAACAATCAAATTTTGATTATTTATATACTCTATAAATATATCATTTAATCGTATTTTTATAATGACGTGATTGACGTCAAATATTTAGTTCAAATACATAGTTCTTAAAAATATAACAGTATGGTTAGTGTAGCAAAAATAGAGAAGTTACTTTAACTGGTCCTAAAATTCTCTCTCTCTCTCTCTCTCTCTCTCTCTCTCTCTATATATATATATATATATATATATATATATATATATATATATATATATATATATATATATATATATATATATATATATATATATATATATATATATATATATAAATATATATATATATATATATATATATATATATTTTAAACACCCGCTTCCAACGAGGCTGCAAGCAACCACTAATTAGTGTTGGAAATTACTGGAAGAGAAAATATGAAGGTTGTAGAGCAAGATAACGATTGACAGATGACTTAAAAGATTGCAAATTATATGAATCAGGAAAGCAAGATGAAAGAAGCGAATTCCAAAGAACTGATGTTAGAGGAAAAAAACTAGACAAATAAGAGTTTTTGGAGCACTTAGGAACAGTAACAGAAAAAGGATGAGACTTAATTGAATGACGAGTAACACGAGAATGAATTTTAGTAGATGGCATAAGAGACGCTAGCTCTTTAGAGCAATGCTCGTTATAGTATTTGTAGGAAAGAGAAAGAGAAGCAACATTATGACACCTTGTCTAAAAGAGAAAGGGCATCATTAGAAGATCCGCTCCAGATATGGCAACAGTATTGCATACAAGACCGTATTTGCGATTTATAGAGATAGAGAATAGAATCCAGAGTAAGAAAGTAACGAGCTCGATAAAGAGAAGCAACTTTAGCAGATGCTAATTTTGCAATGAATTTTATATAAGGTTTCCAAGAAAGATCAGAAGTAAGAGTTAATCCTAGAAGATGAAGGGTAGGAGACTCATCAAGTAGATTACCGTTCATAAATATAGGTAGGTCTAAATTATTGCGATAACGGCTGGCTGAAAAAAATTGAGTTTTATCTGAATTAAAGTTCACCAGCCACTGTGAGCCCCATGCTGTAGCAGAAGTGAGATCCTTTTCAAGCTCAAGTGCCCCCTGCAAGCAATCAGAGTGAGTTGGCTTCTTATCATGACAAGAATAAATGGTAGTATCATCAGCGAACAATGCCACCTTAGATGTGAGAATATCTGGAAGATCGTTAATGTCACTTAAAAAGAGTATAGGGCCAAGGATTGAACCTTGAGGAACCCCTAAGGTTACAGAATAAGAAGAAGAGTGCTGTCCATCAAGAACAACTTGTATACTACGATTGGAAAGAAAGGATTCAATAATCTTAAAGATGTTTCCATATATAATCAACTACCACTCCTATGAGTTCCAAAAAAACTACATGACTTTGTGGCAATACTATAAAATTGGAGATAGAGTTAAAGTGCTTTACAACAAACTTTCAGTTGAACCATCACTTGAATTGCTTGTTCCATTTACAAAAAAACCTGAGTGGAAAAAAGAAGAAAAGAAATTGTGGTTTAAATACACTACATTTTTACCAGAAGACTGGTTGTATTGGATCTTTTAAAACTATTATTGAGTTAAAAGAGCATATGTTGACAGAACAGCACAAAAGATCTGAACAATCTTCTTCTTTAGATAAAGTAAAAAAGTTTATACTGAAAAATTGAAAGCAATTTTGCAAGTTTATTCTAATTCTATAACCGCATTGGTTAAGATCACACCTACTTCAATAAACAATATATATTCTCAAAAGTTCCATAAATTAGGTTGGGCATTGCCAACAAGATTTTTCATTTTTCTTTTAAGCTAAAAAACTTTTTTATAAATACTTAATAAATGAAGAAAATACAGGAAATAAGATATCACCAGAAGAAGTAAACACAGTGATAAGAAAATATATTACAGCTGATGAGTTTTTTTCAAGGCAACAAATAAGATTTTAGTTCTCAAGATGGAGTAAGCTATTAAGAATTGGAAAATAGACCGCTCCGACTAATGAAGAAGACAATAACAATGAACTTGAAAATAAAGAAGCAGATGATTGGGTAGATGATTGGCTAGCAGTTGGTCAAAAAAACTAATGGTATCCATGAGTTTCTGCGGAGGTAAAAATTTTGTATATGTTGTTAAACCAAAAACTTATACTACATAAAACTAAGTAAAAAGTTAGTAATACATCAACAACAATATTAAAACTTAATTATTTATCATAGAAATAAGAAGTTTCATTTATCCATGAATTTTGTGTTTAAATATTGTCAGATAACTGAAGTTGGTACTTTAATTGACTGCATGAAAAGTGTTTCTTCTGGCGAAAATTGTTATCAATGGCCTAATCAGAAAGATAGCATGGTATATTCAGATGATGACATCTTATGTAATGCAACTCCAATTAATCACCAAAGTGATTACTTCTAAAACAAATGATTTTGTAGAAGTTGATAAACTAATGAAAAAATGAGCTTAAAAAAAGTTAAGAAAAAAAGAAATTTATTGTAAAACAACATGTACATTTTTTTAAATAGCTATCAAATATGCTTATACTCCACAACTATAATTTTTACTATTATCTGTTTACATTTGTCTTATACAACTTTTGTAAACCCAGGGCTTTAACCATTATCAAGTCACAATCAATGCATCAAAAGATTAGAATTTCATTTTTGAGTTGGATTTGCGGCTAAGCTTTTAATTCTTCATAGGTATTTTTTATACTTTTAGGTACTTAAGTAGATAAAGATTTATAATAACAAAAATAATTATGGGAAAATTGCGGCTTTGAATGAAAACGAAGATCAAAAATGACAAAAAAAATCATTTTTTGCTTATTTTTTAGAATAATATTTTTTGTAGCATAATACAAGGATACATAATAATTTTCTAGACGAATTATATTCTTTTTTGGTCTGAATCAGCCAATAAACAATAATCAAGTGAAATACTCATTTTAAAGTATTTACTTTGCTTTTTTTTTTTCAAGTTTAAAAATACCTTCAACACCATTTGGTCATAATTTCTTAAAATTTAGTCAAACTTTGACATCTAATATCTAGAGAACCAATTACAATTTAAAAAAAAAAATCTTGAAGTTGAGCTTCTAGTTTGAATAGCAACAATATATTAAAAAATTGGCAATTTTGAAAGAAATCACGCTAAAAATTTGGTGTTTTTGGTTCATTCTTACAGAGTGTCACTCTTAAGTTTGATTCTATTGATTCTTAACTATAATTTTAAGTGACTAGTGACTAGTGGTTTGAAAAATGTGGTTTTATTTATAGTTTGTGGACTTGATTAAAACATTTTAACAAGATTAAATTTTTTTAAATTTTTTTCAATTTAATTTAAAATATTTATTGAAAATGAAAACACTAACCAAGGGATCTCGATTGCTCCATACATCATTCAATTCTTCATTTGGTCTCAACAAAGGAGTGACTCCCAATAATGAAGATACCATACTTATTCTAATACATTTTCAACTTTAATAAAAGTGTATATATATATATATATATGTATATATATATATATATATATATATATATATATATATATATATATATATATATATATATATATATATATATATATATATATATATATATAAAATATATATATGTATATATATATATATGTTAATTAAAAGAAAACTAATTATTAAATTATTTTTAAAAATTAAGATTTATCATAAACTTCTGGTAAGTCTTTATTAATAGAACGCTGTGTAAAATAATAAAAATTTAATGTGTGACTTTTAACTAATTTATTATTGCTTTGTTCTTTTTATATATACAGTGATGGATCCAGGAATTTTTGGTGAGATGGAATGAAATATTTTTGTATTTTATATCACATTTGTGTCTCCTAAAAAAATTTTAAAAAAAGAGCCTCTATTTTTAAGATATTTTAGGACTTTCAGATTCTGGAGGGGGCAGGGGATGCATGTCCCATAATACTCTAATACTGTATATATATATATATATATATATATATATATATATATATATATATATATATATATATATATATATATATATATATATATATATATATATATATATATATATATATATATATATAATATATAAATATAATATATATATATATATATATATATATATATATATAATATATATATATATATATATATATATATATATATATATATATATATATATATATATATATATATATATATATATATATATATATATATATATATATATATATATATATACACACAAAACAAACAAAAAAAATTATAATTTTTTGTTAACTATGATTTTGTATTTGTTTTGTTTTTTTTGTTTTCTGATTTGATTGCAACCTTACATTAGATGCAACCCTACATATACACATTAAATAAGATAGAGTTGTTAACAATCCAAGCAAAAAAGATTGCGATAAAAGCTTCTATCTAGAGCTTAAAAAGGTAACCTATACAGTCTCACTAAAAAAAACCATAATAATATAATAGTTTTTTTATATATAAAATATAATTTATAAGTTATTTCTTTAATTATTTGTTTTTTTGCTTTGTTTTTTTTTTTTGATTTTTTACAATCTAAAGACAAGATTATCTTCATTCTCTAGATTGTAAATTCAGCACTTTATTTACGGCTATAGTGTATTTTGTAATTTAATTGCAGCATCTATTTTACTTTATTTACCTTAAGTAAAAAAATATTTTTATAAAAATATAAGAATGTTAAACATCGACGTCGTGTGAGACGCCCGGATACGGATTTTTTCTATACCGTAAAATCGTCTTAATTCGGTAACCCTGTAACTTCGGTCTTTTTTTTTTTTTTAAACATCACTAACAACAAGGCTCCAAGCAACCATGGCCGACGACACAGGTTTCGAAGTGGAGGGGGTAAAATAGTTAATTTCTAAAAAAAGTCCTGTTTCTTAAATTTTAAAAAAAAAAAGTCTTTCAGAAAAAAAGTTAGAGGGCACTTGCTTCCCACCCCCACCCCACCCCCGTATCGTTGGGCCTGGCAACCACTATAAAAATTGGAATTTACTAGAAAGTATAAGATGAAATTTATAGAGCAAGATAACGATTTATTGACAACTTAAAAGGTTGCAAATTATATGAATCAGAAAAGTAAGATGAAGGAATTCCTTTATCGAACTTTTTCTAAAGGAATTCCTTCATTGGAACTTGCTTCGAAGCAAGTTACGAAGGACAGATGTTCCAGAAAAAAAACTAGACGAATAAGAAATTTTGGAGCACTTAGGAACAGTCACAGTAAAACTATGAGACTTAATTGAATAACGATTCATACGAGAACAAATTTTTGAAGTTGGTACAAAAAAGATGTTTGCTTTTTAGTGCAGCGTTCATTATAGTAAAGAAAAAGAGAAGCAGCAACAACGAAGTGACAATGGTTGAAGATTGGCTACAAGAACAGGTCCAGCTAACTTTACAATGCATTTTTGCTCCTGGTCTAAAGAGCATTGATGGAAAGAGCATCATTGGAAGAACCACCCCAGATTGGTAGCAGTACTCCATACAAGGACGGATTTAAGGTTTAGATAAGATAATTAGAAGAGATAAAGAATAGAATTCTGAGTAAGTAAGTGGCAAGCATAATAAAAAGATGCAATTTTAGCAGATGATAATTTAGCTATGGATTTGACATAAGTTTTTCAAGAAAGATTAGAAGTAAGAATTAATCCTAGAAGACAAAGAGTAGATGAATTATCGAGTACATAAGCATTCATAAACATAGGAAGATCTAGAATTTTGCTATAACAATTAGCTGAAAAGAATTGAATTTTATCTGAGATAAAGTTTACCAGCCACTAAGATCCCCATACTTTGAGATTCTTTTTCAAGCTCAAATGGTCCCCCCAATCAATAGTAGAGTTTTGGCTTCTAACCAAGACAAGATGTGAGATGTGAGAGTTTCTGGAAGGTTGTTCATGCAAGTTTAAAAAAGTATAGGGCTGAAAATAGAACTTTAAGAAAAACCTGAAGGTACAGGAAATAAAAAGGAGTGCTGCTAGTTGAAGAAAACTTTTATACCACGATTGGTAAGAAAGGATTCAATAATCTTAAAGATATTACCGGATACATCGTAAGAAAAGAGCTTATAGAAAAGACCGTCATGCCAAATTTTATCAAAGGCTTTAGAAATGTTGAGTACAATAGCTCTAACCTTTCCACATCTATCTAATGCACGATAAAACTTATAAGTCATTGCCGTCAACAAATCAGTAATAGCTCGAAATCAATGTTGATTATTAGAAAGTTAGTTAATAGGTTCAAGATGAGAGGTTAAGTGTTTTTTGATTATTTGCTTAAGGTAGGAAGAAAACTAATGGAATTGTAGTTAGACGAGTCAGATTGCTCTCCAAAATTTTTGAAAATAGGGAAAATAGATGTCGCTTTCCTTTTTTTTTCTTGAGATGCCACTTTTTATATTTCCTTGAAATGTAACGACTAACTATTTCAGAAATTTATTGATTGATTTATTGATAGGAGGGTTCTGACGATGAAGAAGATTAAGATAATAATTTTAGAGTTATCAAATTGTGATCAGAAAAACCTAAGGGTGAATATGGAGAAACTTAACACTGACTATAATAAGCAAGGAAAGCGAGTTGGAAAGCTAACAATTTGTATTAGATATTGAGAAAGGCAAAAGTTGTGGACCTTAACGCCTGCAGAGTCACTGATAGTAGAACCAAACTGTTCAATGTGATGAGGAAATAATATCAAAAAGAGTGCAGTCTTGAGATGAAGGAAACCGATATTGAGCAAAAAGAAATAGAGTGAAGTGGTACTAAACGAAAATAAAAGAATAATCAACAAACGGGTGAATTCTTGCGAATGTAAATGCCCAGGTCAAGCATGTGACTATTTGAGTCTTAAAGAACTAAAGGAAGGTAACCATCAACACTAAAATCACAAAATGAGACAGCCGAACTCAAATTAGTCTCACAGAGAGCAAGTAGGTCTGGTGAACTTTGCAAGAGATAAGATTCAACAAAAGAAAAGTTCCTTCGAAGACCGCGAACGTTAGTGAATAATAGATTTAGAGAACTTTGTGATGACAATGGTTTTTTGAGTTTATCATAGTTTTTGGTACTTTAGTCATTTTTAAATTTCAAATAACTTGAATCATATTGTATTTTGTACACTATTTAATAGGCCAAGCAATTGCCACAATACTATTAATAAACCCTAAGCCCTAACAAAGGGCTTTAAATGTAGCCTCAACAATGCACACCAAAAATACGAACAGGGACACCATTCTTGTCTAACATGGCACTGTTAGTACTCTGATATTTTACAGCTCTTTATGGAATCAGCCTCTCTGAAAGCTGCCACAGCGTTCGGGAAACCTGACCACCACCCGTCCTCAGGCTGAATTGTGTTTTAGAGATGTACCCTCATTAAGAGATAATAGAATGAGTTGCCTAGTCACAAAAACAGAGACACAAGCAAAACCCATGCATTGAGTCAAGAATATCTAGCATCCAATATCCTAAACTGGAAACAATGTATTATAAATATATCTGCACCAGCTTTATATACGAAGAAGAGGTGCGAGACTGGTCAACAGATAGAGTCTGTTTACCCCTTAAGTCTTTGCCTAGGAGGCCTTCTACAAGACATTAGCTGGATGCGTTTAACATCTGCCCATAACTAGTATTTTTAACGAGACACCATCTCTAGCCTTTACTTAACCAAGAGCCCAAAGTCAGTGTGTTTAAGTTGAAGTTGGCTTACAGCCTTCTCCTAGTCTTTGCCTAAAAAGCGTATCCTACAAGGCAGCTCAATTCCAAATATAGACAGCGCTCTGCTAATATTTGGTGCTGATGCTCAACAACTTCAGCGTGGCGTATTAGATGGAATAAAAAATAGACATTGCACACCATTCTGCTATGATTGGTTGTCTCAATTGGTCTTGATGAACATAGAGGTTAACAATCTGTGTGGACTTTGCAAAGAAGAAAGCACAAAATGTTTCTTTGGTTAAAACGTATACGTCTAATATCTACTTTAATATGTCGTCAATACAAAAATGATTGTTAATATAGTAAACTTCTGATATCTCAAACCCTGGATAATTCCAGGAACTCAAAGTACTTTCAAGTTCCCCTTGAATTACTTCTCAAGTACTTCGAGTACTTGAAAGTACCTCACTAATACTTTCTCACTCGATAACTCGAACCCTTGTTAGCTCGAACATTCGGTTAGTCGAACCATTTTATCTGTTCCTGTGGTTGATATTCTTCCAACAGCAATGGTGGGTTATCAAAGAAAAAAACGCTTCTTTATGGGAAATCGGAGAAGGTTTTCAAAGTCTTTCTGAGACTAAAAAATAAAGAAAAAAATTTTGAATCTATGAAGTAAGATTTTTACTTATTTAAAATTATGTAAAAACGCCAAAACGCATTACATAACTTATATAAAAATATATAATTTACTTACATTTAAAAGTAATTCGTTTTTTTTTTACATAAATTATTTAACATGTAAAACCTTATTACTTAAGTTAAGTTTTTTAAACTGTTACTTGAAAAAGTAATTTACTTTTACAAGTAAAAGTTATTTGGATTTTAATTTTACTTGTAAATGTAACATTTATTTTAATGATAAGTCGTGTAAAGTAATTTACTTTAAAAAGTAATTATGGTTATAATTTTGTACATAATTTATATCAAAATGTAACTTACTTTTTATATGTAAAAAAAGTTACTTGTGAAGTAACGTAAATATAATATTTAAAAAACATTGCACTTACTTTACAAAGTAAAATAAAACTACATCATAACAACAAATTACTTTTACGTGTAAAAGTAACTAATTAGCAAAAACAGCTTTCATAAAAGTAATTTGAAAAAAATTGTTATTTACAATTACAAATAAAAGTAAATTTTTCTTTAAAATTTTATACTTTACTTTAAAAGTAAGTAGAATCTAAGTTATATTATTTATTTTGTCAACATTTCATGTTGATTTAACATAAATTTTGAGGTAGCGTATTCAAATCGATTGCCTGCTTAAGGGTACTTCTGGGTAATACATCAGATAATACTCTGAAGTATGTGGGGCATCAGAAAAGGATTTTTTTTCGCGTTTATCATATAAGGTAATTCCATTATAGTTATGGGCAAATATAGTCAACATGCAGGTATACCAGTAGTGTAGAGATAGACTCCCTGCCGCATAAGTGCTAATAGAGGCTGCTAAATAACCATTGATTTTTTATTTCTTTTTTTTGTTGAGCAGAAATAGGTTAGTTTTTTCTTTATATTTGGGGTTTTTTAACTTTTTAGAAAGAAAGATGTCTTGCAAAAAAAGCTTTGACAAAGCTTTTAAATGCCTTTTCACAGCTTTTTTTTCAAAAATTAATACTAAAACAAATAAATCAAAAGAAATTTTTTTTGATTTGTTTGTCTAAAAGAAATTTTTTTTTTTTTTTAAATTTTTTTAAAGGTGCTAGGCGTATTTGTAGCTATGCTTTTGCTTTTCGCTTCTCTTATTCAGCGCAGTTGTTGTCAGGGCGGTCCGGAAGACGTCTCTCATAAGTGGGGGGGGGGGGGTCGTATGCAGGGGCGGGTTTTGTCACTCGCCAAGGAGGGGGCTAAAAAGGTCTTAAAAAAAAAGGTCCGCATATTTTCATTTATAAGTAACTTTCTTTTTTAATTTGTTGTACTTTAGTGTAATAATCAAGTTCATATACGTATAATTACGTATAATAGTCAGTTTTATTCGTAAGTATAATAGTCCAATTCTGTATAATAGTCAATTTAAAAAAGAATGTTTCTGAAAAAAAGTCCCAAGGCGGAGGAGGAAGGGGGGGAGGTACTTCCCCAGGCCCCCTCCCCTAAAAACCGCCACTGGTTGTATGTGTTTATTTGTCAACTAGAGACACATACACAAAAAAATAAGGTCCTCAATATTTGACATTTGCCAACTATACTTCAAAACTTGCTAATTGAAATGCTAAATGTCCCCTCCCCTTCCTACCCCAAACGTGAGACCAACAAGTTAATAAAATGTTTTTTGTACTATTCTTAACTAGACTTATATTCATCGATAAATTTTAAATTTCATAGTAAAATATTTTAGCGTTCAAAAATTATGACCATATAAAGTTATAAACCCCTTCAATTCGAGGGGGTTACAAATTTTATATGATCATAATTTTTGAGCGCTAAGAGATTATACTATCAAACTTAAAATTTATCGATGTATATAAGTATATTACTTCGATTAGGTAAAAGCTTCAAATTATCTATACCTAAACATAGCACTGTTTATTATGGCCATGAATCTAATAAATTCAGAGCAAGTGCACATGGAATAGTCTCCCTTTACAGTTAAAATCTCTCCCTAAATTTTCCAAATTCAAAAAGTCTATTTTTTTTTTTTTTTTTTTTTATTTGCATTCACTCCCAACAAGGCTGCAAGCAACCACTATTAAGTTGGGAGTTACTAGGAAAAAAAAAAAGAACAGAGTTATAGAGCAAGAAAACGGTTGACAGAAGACTTGAAAAGCTGAAGGTTGTATGAGTCAGGAAAACATGAAGATGGGAGAGAGTTCCAAAGGATTGAAGTGCGGGGAAAAAAACTAGATGAATAAAAGTTTTTAGAGCATGCAGGGACAGATACAGTAAACGAATGAGACTTAGCTGAATGACGAGTAAAACGAGAATGAATTTTAGTTGATGGAACTAGAGATGATAACTCCTTTGAGCAGTGACCATGATAGTATCTGTAGAAAAGAGAAAGAGGTGCAACTTTACGACGATGGGAAAGAGGTTCAAGCTTAGCAGATAGTCCAGGTCCAACAACATTTACAATGCGTTTTTGGACCTTGTCAAGAAGAGAAAGTGAATTGTTAGAAGAACCAGCCCAAATATGACAACAGTATTCCATACAGGGACGAATAAGAGATTTGTAGAGGTAGAGAATGGAATCAGAAGTAAGGAAATGGCGAGCACGATAAAGAGAAACAACCTTAGCAGAAGCTAATTTAGCAATTGATTGTATATATGGTTTCCATGAAAGGTCAGTAGTAAGCGATAATCCAAGAAGACGTAAAGAGGAGGACTCAGTAAGAGGATTGCCATTCATTAATATAGGAATGTTGACCATATTACGGTAGTTGTTTGCAGTAAGCAATTGGGTTTTTTTAGAGTTGAAATTCACAAGCCACTGTGAACCCCAATCTATTACTGAAGTGAGATCAGATTCAAGATCAGCTGCTTGTTCTAGGCGATCGAAAAGAGAAGACTTTTTGTCAAGACAGGAGTATAAAGTTGAGTCATCAGCAAAAAGAGCTACTTTAGATGAAAGGTTGTCAGGAAGATCGTTTATGTAGATAAGAAACAAAACAGGGCCCAGGATGGAACCTTGGGGAACCCCAGAAGTTACTGGAAATAAAGAAGAGTGTTGGCCTTCAAGGATGACTTTAATAAACCGGTTAGAAAGAAATGATTTGATAATCTCAAGAACTTTCCCAGAAACACCATATGAAGCAAGCTTATGGAGAAGACCAGCATGCCAAACTTTGTCGAAAGCTTTAGATATGTCGAGAGCAATAGATAAAGAAAGTATTCTTCCTAATTCCTATGCTACTCTACTTCCTATGCTACTACTACCTAATTATAAAGAAAGTATTCTTCCTAATTCCTATGCTACTCTACTGCTAACTATCTATTATCCATCTTAACTTTATTTGCTTTAATGGTGGTTTATAACTACTAATACTTGATTTTTTGTTAATTTTTTTACTACTACTTTCTTCATTTCAATGCTGACTTATTACTACTAATACTTGCTCTTTCTTAACTTTTTCTCAAATTCTTTATTTCAAACTCTATGATAAATATTGCTATTTTTATTATTGTTATTATTATCATTATTACGAATAGAACTGTTATTTTTATCGTTAGTATTATTATTATTTTGATTATTATTCCCAATAACTGGAGTTTTTATTATTAATGCCTACTCTTATTACTGATACTTATATTACTATATTGTTTATAATTTTGTTACTGTATATTATTATAATCTACTTCTCTTTTATTGCTATATTTTAATTAGGTATATAAAAGTCACATCCAAGGTAGATGTATAAAAGTAAATTAAATTTTGTCCTGAATATATCAAACTTCTTAATTATTATTCCATAAAGTTTTTCATTTAAGTATGTACTGTTTTACGTTTTGTTTTTGTTTTTCATTATGGTGTTAACTTAAAATTAGTACTTGTACTATATGTAAATATTCCATGAAATGTAAAATCTATTTCAGAATACATTTGACTTGATTTATAGAAAAATAAATAAATAATAAAATTAATCCAAAAGAAAAAGATAATTTTACTTCATACGACTACAGAAAATGTTATATTATACGCGAAAGAAACTAACATTTTTAAAGAAATCCTATATAAAAAAAACAACAAAAAAACAAAAAAAAAACAAATAAAGATATTCTCAATATGGAAAGTTTATTTATAAATCTAATTTAAAAATGCATTTAATAAATTTATATACATTGTTGAACAATATTTAAATTAAATTTTAAATAAATTTCTATTTTTATAACAAAATAAAGATTTTTTATTATTAAATATAGAAATTTTATAATGATTCAAAACCAATATAAACAAAACAAAAAACTATAAAATAAAAAAAATAAAAAAAAGTTATTTTTAATTATATATTTAAAAAAGTATTTATTTAGTAATTTTAATAAAGTCAATAACAATATTTCATAAAATCATATCAAATTTTATTATTTCTTCCATTTTACTCGTTGCACCCAAGAATCGTTCACCGAATTTCGAAAATACAAACCATCAACATTTCCTAAACAGATTTAATAAAATACACATACATACATCTATGAGCGTGAATGTGTTCTACATGTATATATCAAGGTCTATTCTAGGAAAAAAATTTGGGCGGCGCACAGTGGGACAATGTGTTCCAAAATACCAAAAAATCACGGTGAAAATTTTTCATAATGGTGAAGAAATGTTCATTAGAGGAAATATCTAGTTAAAAAAATATTAAATATTAATTTAAGCGTTATTTTATGCGGTTATTTACACGTAAATTTGACGTGTTCGAAAACGCTACTTTGCATTTTTTATTTATCAACTTTCTAACGCTACTATCGTTTTAAATTAACTTTATTGACTTTTATTTTAAAATATATTATTTTAATTAACAATATTTTTTTCGCTCAGACTTTTAAAAACAATTTAACGTAAGTCTAATCATTAGTTTTTATGGATCGAAAACAGAAAGTTTTCGATATTTTTTTTGCTACTAACCATATAAATATCAGATAAATCAACCTCCAATATCCTCAAAACATTTGATTATGTAAATCTCATGCTAAATGTATGTAAATAGCCATGCATCATAAATATTTTGCAACATTTTGCAATAAAAAAAGTTATAACAAAACATCGGTTCTCGGTTAATGGTCAGTTGATAAGAAATACTGAACATGTAAAAAAGATGTTTCGTACACAAATAATACCTACAAAATCTTTAATTACTGCTATAATATATAAACTCTGCAAATATAAATCTAAAAAAGTTATTTTATGACAAATAAATGCATTGAAAAGTAATATTTTTGATGTTTACACTGATTAAAGTTGTCTAAAATATTTCGTATTTTTCACCAAAATTAAATTTAAAATTTTTTTTATTATTATTTTATTATAGAACAAGCAATATTATAATATCAAATTTAATGCTAATGTTTCTTTGTGCATCTTTTTGACAAACAGCAAGAAAATAACGCTGATGAAAATAAATATAGGAAGCTTGTTTTTTTTATATAATTTTTAATACGAATATAAAATAAATGAAGTAAAAATTTATTTTTTGTTAAACATTGTGCTAACCTTTTTTTAACCTGTTTTTAAACATTTTTCTAATGGTTCGTTTGATTAAATTTTATTTCATAAGTAAGCTTAGGTTTAAATTTTAGCTTGCTCTTAGCTTGCTATAAATTTTGTTAGATAATATAAAACCAAGTATTTATATACTATAGATCATTTGTCATTAACTTCATTATAGTCAGGGTTGGGGTCAAATAAATTTAATCAAAGACAAATAAAATTGCGTTTTGATTAAATGTATTTGACCCTAAATATTTTTGACAATCTTTATTTGGAAATCTTAACAAATTCTAGATTTCCAAATACAAATTCAAGTACAAATATATGGAAATGGCATTTTTCAAATACAAATGTTTGTACTTTAGGTTGAGTAAAAATATTATTATTATTTTTTTTTAAGACAAAACTGATAAAATGTTTGCTTTAATATAAAAATGAAAACAAGTCTTCTAACAAATACCCCTTAAAAATATATTTTTAATTTATTTTGTGTTAAAAACGAAAAAAATACAGAGAGCTGAGCTGGTGAGGTAAGCAACATTACAGTAGTAAGCTGAGCTACATTACAGTAAGCTGAGCTACGCTACACTTTTTAAAATGACTTTAACGATATAAACAAAATCAACTAAGTACCGCTAGAGGTACTTAGTTGATTTTGTTAATATTGTTTTTTTTATTTGTTGTTTTACATGTCTGAGCTTATTAATATTTGTTTACAAAATATATTGTTATTCAAGTGAATGGAAAATTAAAGAAGAAGAGTCTGTTAAAAAGTTTAAAGTTTAATTTATTTGAAATTAAAAATACTAATGAAGTAATAAGTTAAAAGTCTAAAAGACTAAAAATTCTCTGCACCAATTATTAAAAGCTTTTGAAATATTACATTGTCATCTTTGTTACTAGCTGCCTACTTTTGAAAAGAAAAAAAACCAGTGTACTTTTAACTAATTTTTTTACAACAAAAACTTAGATGATATAGTGATGCGATAATGATCAGTTAAAAAGAATAATTGAAAAACATAGACCTACCAAAAACCATTAAACATGGGTCTTGACTAATAACTTTTAATGAATCATCTTTCAAGACAATTTGCAGGATTCACTTTTTTGAGTTAAGGTTTCATTGATAAACTTAGGTTTTGAGTTTCTTTTTTGCTAGGATATAAAACCAAGTTCAAACTTTTTTTTTATATACATATTCACTTTCAACAAATGCAAGCTTTCAACAAATCCAGCACCCATTATAGTATTTATAGGAAAGAGAAACAGAAGCAACATTACAACAATGTGACAATGGTAGAAGGTTGGCTGCAAAGTCCAATTATGTTTACAATGCATTTTTCACCTTAGCTAAATAAGAAAAGCGCATCATTTGAAGACCTGCTCCAGATATGGCAGTATTCCATACAAGGACAGATATGAGGCTTATAGAGATAAAGAATAGAATTCGGAGTAAGAAAGTGGCAAGCAGGATAAAGAGATGCAATCTTAGCAGATGCTAATTTTGGAATGGATTTGATATAGGGTTTCCAAGAAAGATTGGAAGTAAGAATTAATCTAAGAAGACAAAGAGTAGATGAATCATAGAGAACATTACTATTAATAACTATAGGAAGATCTAAATTATTGCAATAATGATTAGCTTAAAATTGAGTTTTATCTGAGTTAAAGTTTACCAGTCACAAAAAGTTAATAAATCAACAGTAAAACAAGAAGATCCAAAAAGTTATTAGATTCAAGATGAGAGATTTATTTGTTAATTAAACACTCAAAAACCTTGCTTTTTTTTTTTTTTTTTTTTAAACATCTTTGCTTCCAGTTGGAAGTTACTGGAAGAGAAAAGATGAAGATCGTAGAACAAGATAACAATTGACAATGACTTAAAAAATTGCAAATTATACAAATCAGGAAAACTTATTGAAGGAAGCGAATTCCAAAGAACTGATGTTCGAGGAAAAAAACTAGAGGAATAAGAGTTTTTAGAGCACTTAGGAACAGTCACAGAAAAAGGATGAGACTTAATTGAATAACGAGTAACACAAGAATGCTGGTTTTCTCCATAAGCTTTCTTCTTACAGTGTATCTGGAAACATCTTTAAGATTATCGAATCCTTCCTTTCCAATTGTAGCATAAAAGTTGTCCTTGATGGACAGCACTCTTCTTCTTATTCTGTAACCTCAGAGGTCCCTCAAGGTTCAATCCTTAGCCCTATACTCTTTTTAATTTACATTAACAATCTTCCAGATATTCTCACAACTAAGGTGGCATTGTTCGCTGACAATACTACCATTTATTCTTGGCACAATAAGAAGCCAACTCCCTCTTATTGCTTGCAGGGGGCATTTGAGCTTGAAAAAGATCTCAATTCTGCTACAGCATAGGGCTCACAGTGGCTGGTGAACTTTAATTCAGATAAAACTCAATTTTTTTCAGGCAATTGTTGCCGCAATAATTTAGACCTTCCTATATTTATGAACGGTAATGTACTGGATGAGTCATCTACCCTTCATCTTCTAGGATTAACTCTTACTTCTGATCTTTCTTGGAAACCTTATATAAAATCCATTGCAAAATTAGCATCTGCTAAAGTTGCATTTCTTTATCGAGCTCGACACTTTCTTACTCTGGATTCTATTCTCCACCTCTATAAATCTCAAATACGGTCTTGTATGGAATACTGTTGCCATATCTGGGGCGGATCTTCTAATGATGCCCTTTCTCTTTTAGACAAGGTGCAAAAACGCATTGTAAACATAGTTGGACCTGCTCTTGCAGCCAACCTTCAACCTTTGTCATATCGTCATAATGTTGCTTCTCTTTCTCTTTTCTACAAATACTATAACGGGCACTGCTCTAAAGAGCTAGCGTCTCTTGTGCCATCTACTAAAATTCATTCTCGTGTTACTCGTCATTCAATTAAGTCTCATCCTTTTTCTGTGACTGTTCCTAAGAGATATAAAAACTCTTATTCGTCTAGCTTTTTTCCTCAAACATCATTCTTTGGAATTTGCTTCCTTCATCTTGCTTTCCTGATTCATATAATTTGCAATCTTTTAAGTCATCTGTCAATTGTTATATCTTGCTCTACAATCTTCATCTTTTCTCTTCCAGTAACTTCCAACACTAATTAGTGGTTGCTTGCAGCCTTGTTGGAAGCAAAGATGTAAAAAAAAAAAAAAAAGAATGGATTTTAGTAGATGGTACAAGAGAAGCTAACTCTTTAGAGCAGTGCCCATTATAGTATTTGTAAAAAAAGAGAAAGAGAAGCAACATTACAATGACGTGATAATGGTTGAAGGTTGGCTGCAAGAGCAAGTCCAACTATGTTTACAATCCGTTTTTGCACCTTGTCTAAAAAGGGCATCATTAGAAAACCCACCCCAGATATGGCAACAGTATTCCACACAAGGCTGGATTTGAGATTTATAGAGATAGAGAATAGAATCTGGAATAAGAAAGTATTGAACTAAATAAAGAGATGCAACCTTAGCAGATGCTAATTCTGCAACAAATTTGATATATGGTTTCCGAAAAAGATCAGAAGTAAGACATTCTTGATGATACTACAATTTAGAAGTAAGACATTCTTGATGATAGTACAATTTATTCTTGTCATGATTCTTATCATGACAAGAATAAATAGTACTATCATCAGCGAACAATAGTATATGACAAGAATAAATAGTAGTATCATCAGTGAGAAGACCAGCATGCCAAACTTTATCAAACGCTTTAGAAATATTAAGAGCGATGGCCTAAACCTCTCTACCTTTATCTAATGCGCAATAAAACCTGTCGGTTATTACAGTTAGCAAATCAGCCATAGAACAAGAAGATTGAAATCCATATTAATGATCAGAAAGTAAGTTATTAGATCTGTCTTTAAGTGAGGTGACAAAGTCTGAACCATACAAGAGAAGTAGAATAAGGGGTTCGCCCTTATTATTGATACTTTTAAAGATTCTCCAGTCACGAGAGCCTAATTTTTATGATTAAATACGAGATTTCATGACTGGAGAATAGCGGACTTTGGCGTAAGACAAAACCTTTTTACAATAATTTCTAGCAGTAATAAACAGACATCTATTTTCTAGAGAATTGTTTTGTTGATAGATATGGAAGTAACAATTTTGATTGGCAATAGCAGCAGCACAATGTGATGAAAACCATGTAGAAGAGTGAGGCTGGACCTGGAATCGTCAAGAAGGAATAATAGATTCAATGCCAGTCTGAATCCACAAAGTTATGCAAGAAGCATATTTGTCAAAAAGAAGACGAAAGATTTCTACCCAAAGGCCATCACGAAGAAAGTCACAAAAAGAGTCCCAGTCAGCTTTAAGGTAGCTGTAAAAGGTACGATGATAGGGGGACTCAGATGATTAAGAAAAATGAGATAATAGTTTTAGAGAGATGAAACTGTGATCTGAAGCACCTAAGGGTGAATGAGGAGAAACTCATAAATGGTAACTGATTCGGTAATAAAAAGTAAATGATTTGGGTTGTCTGGAAAGTAAGTTCTAAAACTGACTATTTGTGTTAGAGATTGAGAAAGGCAAAAGTTTTTGGCTTTAATGCCTGCAGAGTCACTGACAATCCGAATCATTTACTTCTTTACTTGACTTATGTCTTGTTTCTGGTCCTAGTCAGTGCTCAGTTTCTCCACACTCACTCTTTGGTGCTTCTGATCATGGTTTGATCTCTCTAAAAAACTATTATCTTATTCTTCTTCATTATTAGAATCTCTCTATCATTGTACTTCTTACAACTACCTTAAAGCTGACTGGGATTCTTTTTCTGATTTTCTTCAGGATAACCCTTGGGTAGAAATCATTTTTCTTCCTGCTGGCATATATGTTTTTTATGTGGATTTAGGCTGGCATGAAATATTTTGTTCCCTCACAACAACATGATGATTTCAAGTAACCTTCACTCTTCTCCATGATTTTTCTCTTATTGTGCTGCTGTAATTCCCAATTATAACCGTTTTTTCAATATCTATCACCAAAATAATTCTCCAGAAAACAGATGTCTGTTTACTATTTTTAAGTTAGGAAATCTTGTGTTTTATCTCTAAAACTCAGTTTTATGGTTCTGAGGCTGACTGGTAGTCTGGTTTCCCACACTCTGTGGTAGCTCTCAGAGAGGCTAATTTCATCAACAACTGAAAAATATCAAAGTATTAACAGTGCCATGTTGTGCATGGGTGGTGTCCCTGATTTTACTTTTGGTGTGCATTGTCAAGGCCGCATTGGAGCCCTTTGTTGCAGCTTAGGGTTTATTAATAGTAATGAGGCAATTGCTTGGGCTATTAAACAGTGTACTGAATAATATCTATGTTTCGAGTCAAGTTCTTTAACAATTTTAAAAATGAATAAGTATCAAAAACTATAAAACACAAAAAACCATTGTCATCACCAAGTTCTCTATACCTATCATTCACTAATATTCGTTGTCTTCGAAATAATTTTTCTTCTGTTGAGTCTTATCTCTTGCAAAGTTCACCAGACCTACTGCAAGACTATAAGCTGTCCAGACCACAAGCTGTAGAAAAGTCTAAGCAGTAAATCACTTTAGTTACAGAAGCTGGAGTGATAGGAATATCAAGCAACTGATCAACCTGTTTGTTGGCTATATCAGGTAGAATGAGATGAGATAGATAAAAAGTTCTTAGCAAACAATTCAGCTTTGTCTTTAGGTGAGTTTACAAAATCAGAACCATGCAAGAGAGGAGTAATAGCAGATTTGATATTACAGATATTACAGATACTGTTAAAGATTCTTCAGAAGTCTCAGGAGCCTAATTTTTGAGATAAAACACAAGATTTCCTGACTTAAAAATAGCAGGCCTTTTTACAATGGTTTCTAGCAATAGTAAACAGTCATCTGTTTTCTGGAGAATTATTTTGGTGATAGATATTGGAAAAACGGTTATAATTGGGAATTACAGCAGCACAATAAGAGAAAAATCATGGAGAAGAGTGAGGGTTACTTGGAATCATCATGTTGTTGTGAGGGAACAAAAAATTTCATGCCAGCCTGAATCCACATAAAAAGCATATATGCCAGCAGGAAGAAAAATGATTTCTACCCAAGGGCTATCATGAAGAAAATCAGAAAAAGAATCCCAGTCAGCTTTAAGGTAGTTGTAAAAAGTACAATGATAGGGGGATTCTAATAATGAAGAAGAATAAGATAATAGTTTTTTAGAGAGATCAAACCATGATCAGAAGCACCAAAGAGTGAGTGTGGAGAAAATGAGCACTGAATAGGACCAGAAACAAGACATAAGTCAAGTAAAGAAGGTAAACAATTTGGATTGTCTGGAAAGCAAGTTGGAAACTTAAGTATATGTATTAGAGGTTGAGAAAGGCAAAAACTTAGTTACACCTGCAGAGTCACTAACACTAGACTAAGCCAATCAGTGTGATGAGCATTAAAGTCACCAACAATGATGAGCATTTAAGTCACCAACAACAACGATATTGGCTAAAGAATAAAGAGAAAGAGCTTGGTCAATTTGATCAAAAAAACCATCAAAAAGAGTGCAGTCTTGAGATATAGAAGACCAATATTTAACAAAGTGAAAGATGATAGAGTGAAGTGGTGCTAAACAAAAGCACATAAAAGAATAGTCTGTAGAAACCTAGTTTCCCAACAAATGGATGAATTCTTACAAATGTCTAGGCCAAGAATGTGACTATTGGAGTCTTTACAAATTAAAGGAAGATAACCATCAAGACTAAGAGCACAAGATGAGAAAGCTGAACTCAAACTAGTCTCACAAAGAACAAGTAGGTCTGATAAGTTTTGTAAAAGATAAGACTAACAAAAAAAAAGTTACTTCAAGGACCACGAGTATTAGTAAACAAACATACACCAAAACATACGAAGAGAGACACTATCCATGTGCAAACAAGGCACTGTTAGTACTCTGATTGTTTGGAATAAGCCTCTCTAAGAGCTATCACAGAGTTCAAGTGACTTGAATACCAGTCAGCCTCAGAACCATAAAACTGAGTTTTAAAGCTGTACTTTCATTAAGAAATAATAGAATGAGTTGCCTAGTCATAAAAGCAGAGATACAAGAAAAACCCATGTATTGAGTCAAGAAGATCCAGCATTTAACATCTTAAACTAAAAACAATGTATTTTAAATACATCTATGCCAGCCTAATAGATGAAAAATGGGTACAAGGTTGGATAACAGATAGAATCTGTTTATTCCTCAAATCTTTGCCAAGAAGGCCTTTACAAGACAGTACCCAGATGCATTTAATGTCTGCCCAAGATGAGTATTTTTATTGAGACACTAGTCTATATCTCTAGTCTTTACTCAACCACATGACTCTTTGCACGGAAGTAGCGGTTGTTTTAAGTCAGAGTTGTCTTCTCCTAGCCTTTGCTTAAGTGTATCCTACAAAGCAGTAGGATATGCAGCAGATTGTACTGGATTACATGTTACTTAATGGTGACTTTCTTTTTGGTGAACTCATTTAACAGTGAACCTTGATTTGTTGAGTTCATTGAACAGTAAACCTTTTTTTTTTTGTAACTATATTTTCCAGAGAAATACATGTAATGTAAAAACTATATAAAATAACATAAAATAAGTAAAATAACAAAAAGTGTTACCCATCCAATGATTTTCTCCAATAATATATACTTGCTCTACATTCCCATTAATTTTCTTTAGTAGACTTTTATTAAGATTTCTTGCAACATTTTCATTAAAATCTTCATTAGTTAATGCAAGCCACTTTTCATGCATTTTATGAAATTTTAAATAGGTTTTTTGGTTGCGATGGATAGCACATAACTCATTAGTTGAATTATGATGACCAAGTACACATCCTATAGTAATATCTAAAGCTATAAAAAAAAATTTATACTTAAGTATGTGTGTGTACATATACATATACATATATACAGTATTGGACAAAACATTTGCAACCAACATCGAACAATGCTAAAAAGTGTTCTTAATTTTACATGTCTTAAAAACGAAAGAACTATACTACCACAGCAAACAGTTCAGGAGTCTGGAGTCATAGCATGCCATACATGAGCAATCAGCTGACAGGTGACAGCACACAGGCAAAATTTTGTTGACAAGTGCCATTTTGCAGCGAACAAAACAAGTGCAATTTTTTTGGTTTGTTTCATTTTCTTAAGTCTGGTCCGTGTCAACGTCGCGGAAGTTTTTTAATAATTAAAGGAAGTATCCAGAAGCATGCAGAAGCTTCCAGAAGTTTCCAGAAGAATCATCTGGAAGCATCCAGAAGTATACAGAAACATTTAGAAGCATCGAAAAGAAGCATCGAAAAGAAGCATCTAGAATCTTCCAGAACAGGTTCACACAGGTTCATTTTACTATATAAGAGACATGTAAACCGACATGTAATTCAGTCAGTATATGGAAGTCAATCAGTCAGTATTATCAAGATAGTTTATCAAAGTGAGTTTTATCAAAGTGTTTTATCGAAGAACATCAATACAAGAAGTGAAATACAACAAGTATTTTATTATATCAATACAGTCCACATCCAACCAAGATGTGTTCCACAGAGCATTATTGTATCATCACATCACAAGGTAAATGTAACACAGTACGCCTTGAGAAGCGTGATTATTTATTTTTATTATTTTTATGACTTCAAGTACAAAAATGGCTCTCGACAGTCTTGGACTGGAACTAAGAAATAAAATTATTGGCAATTATGTAAGTGGAATGTCACAAAAATGTATTTATGATAGATGTCGCGTGAAAAAATGGACCGTATCAAGACTATGTTCCAAATATCGTTCTATGGGGAAGTTGGCAGCAAATAATAGGTGGAAGACCACGTTTCACCACTTCTAGAGAGGATTCTATGATTGTCAGATCCATAAAGAAGAATCCCTGGATATCATCAGTTGAGATACAAAAGCAATTAGAGCTGCCTGTATCAGACCGAACAATCAGACGACGTGCTGTTGAAGCCAGATTGTTTTCTCGACACCCTGCAAAAAAACCTTTGATTTTACTAAAGAACCAGAAGAAAAGACTTCTGTTTGCTCCATCTCATATTAACTGGAATGTGCAGAAATGGCGAACTGTCCTGTTCAGTGATGAATCGAAGTTCAACATGATTGGGAGCGATAGCATTTGCCGTGTACATCAATCGGCTGGAAAACGCTTCAATATACATTACTGCCATAAGACCGTGAAACATAGTGGAGGCAATGTAATGGTCTGGAGATGTTTTCCTGCTAACGGTCTAGGTCCAATACATCGAATCGATGGAATAATGGACCGTTTCATGTATAAAAATATCCTGAAAGAAGGTTACCTCATGCTGAATGGAATATGCCAATAAAATAAGGTTTTCAGCAAGACAACAATCCGAAACACACTGCAAAAGTAATCAAGCAGTGGTTTCAAGACATCCAACTATCGGTGATGGATTGGCCGCCTCAATCTCTGGATTGCAACCCTATCGAGAACCTGTAGAAGATTGTCAACCGCAGAATTAATTGTAAAGGTGTACGTAATAAGGATCAACTGTTTAAACAAATCCAAAAGGCCTGGGCAGCGATTCCACAAAGTTTCATTGATCACCTGATCAAATCTATGCCTTGAAGATGCAAAGCTGTGATTGACAACAAAGGATTCATCACAAAATATTGATAGTGAAATACAGCTTGGTCAACATTTTGTGGAGTTGCACTTGTTTTGTCTAGAAGGAAATCAACTTTTTTTAATACTTTTGATTAATTTATTAATTTTCGTGTACAAATAATGAACTTTGTGACGAATAAAACTTGAAGAACGTTGTCTCTAAACAGTTACATAGTAATTTCTCTAAATTGAAAAAATGCAGCAGTTTTATATAAAGAAACTAAATTAGCATTTGGTTGCACTTGTTTTGTCCGATACTGTATATATATATATATATATATATATATATATATATATATATATATATATATATATATATATATATATATATATATATATATATATATATGTATATATATATATATATATATATATATATATATATATATATTATATATATATATATATATATATATATATTGCCTCTACCATTAACAAAAAATAAAAAAAGCACTTCATATTAAATGGGAAAATCCTTCTTTAAATATTATAAATTTATCTATCTAACTTACTATATTGTTATTATTATTATTATTATTATTATTATTATTATTATTATTATTATTATTATTAATATTTTAATATTAGGAAGTTCATTTTGTCATAATTTGTAATATAATGTTTAATTGGTTTGTAACAAGTTTATTTGTCCGTTTGTTTTTTCTCTGTATTGTCTTCAGTTTTTAAATTTATTTACCAGAGTTTTAACTGTAAATTAAATCTTTTGAAAATGTAGTAAGACTACGAAGCATGTCAAGAATAAAAAAGATTGTGATTTTTATTAAAATTTATATATATATATATATATATATATACATATATATATGTATATATATATGTATATATATATATGTATATATATATATATATATATATATATATATATATATATATATATATATATATATATATATATATATATATATATATATATATATATATACAAACCAAAAAAATATATATTTGTAGAAAAAATAAAAAACAATAAAGAGCAGTATCTACCAATCCATTTTTCGCCTTTGTTCTTTGAAAAATAGCAAGCAGGCTTTGAACTAAATTGATAAAAACATTGATTATTATAAAGTACCTTCTGATGGCACACTGAAAAAACACTCCTGGAACAGGTATGTCATTATAGAACTTGGTTGCTGTGCAAAAATAAAAAATTGTATTTATTACATTTGTTTATACTAGAGTCCAAAAAAAGGAGCACTTAAAAGTGCAATTTTGGATTCACTTTAAAACAAAGTAAATATGTATCATTAAATATAATTGTTAAGTGAAGTAAAAGTAATTTGAATTCCAATAAACGAAAGTATCAAATTTGAATTTTTTAAATTATTTCATTATTTCATCATGTTTATTTGTATACATTTAAATGCATTTAAATAATTTTATTAATTATTAATATAGTTTAACTACAGTTTTGTTATATTTGATTTAATCAGCTATTTAAGCTTTACCCTGCAATTAAATAATTTTATTTATTTTAAATATACTCTCGATTATGTTACAGTTTATAGAATATTTGTTTTTTTATATTTAGCAAAATCTTATTATAAAAAATTTTCAATAAAAAAGGTTTTAACTGAATAATATAATCAGGTCAAAATACATATTTATTATTGTGGTGATGTTCTTGAATGAATGGAAATAACAACTTGATAATGCATTTGTTAAGATGCATCTTGGTTGATATCCATACCACTTGGTTTAAGCTATGAACAATCATATATAATGATAAAAGCATTGATGATCATAATTATTATTAAGACCATCACACAATTAATATGATCATCACAAAATCATCATCTTGATCATTAATTATTACTTTAACTACATTATTTTATTATAATTATTAATTTAATTATATTATATTAATTATTACATTATATTAATTACTTGATCAAGTGTGATAATCATTATTATGATCATCACACGATCATCATACTTACTTTGCACATGATAATAAAAATCATCATCTTACAAACATGAAAAATACCTGACAACATGGTCATTCATGCAAACATAAATATGGGAATTACTTGCATCCCAATAAATGCCACGCCCATAGCTTTCTAAAACATATTAACTAATTAATACTTATTATATACAATTATATAAAGTTATATATAATAGTTATTAGTTATAATAATTAATTAGACACAAAAAAAAAACAACAACTGTACTATAAAATATAAATTTTTAAATATTACCACGTTTATATAAACAAATAATAAAATAATATATTAATATAATTATAATATTTACTATTAAAAACTATATAATAGTATTAATGTAAAAAATTTACAATAAACAACCTGATAGGGACCTATCATCTTTTGGAATTAAACCTTGATAATGCCCAACAAATATTTTTTGCTGATAGGTTTTAAATTGACTCCATTTTTGACCAGCAGAGTTTAAAAAAGTGATTTTGACAGATATCTGGAGATCGAAATATTCAGATGATGAAATTTTTAAACCATCAAGCTTAGCATTGAAGCTGTGAATAATGGTATCAGAAAATGTGAATGCCTTCATAAACTGCATTATAAAAAAAAAACATGCCATTGTATATCATCATCAAGAACACCATGATCAACATTTCAATCATAATTATCATGACCATGATCAGCATGATCATTATGCCAAAACTTTTTTCAATTATTATGTAAACAGTCTTTTAAGATATTTTATGTGGAAAACGTTAAGCAGTAATTAATTGTTGTAAAATTTTTATTAGATAAAAAAACAGATAGTTAAATTTATATTTTCCATTTTTTAACTATTTTCCATTTTTTAAAAATTTTTTGTTTTTAGTTTATTTTATAATATTTAAATTAAATTAATTATTAAATAATATTAAATATAAATCTATTTTATCAAATTTAATTTAAATTCTTTTAAAAATTAAAAAAAAAAATTTTCATTTTGTTACGAAAGCGTTAATATAAAAAAGTGCTTAATGCACTTACAACTGTATATAAATGCATTGCCTGATAAACCATAATCAAGCATGCAGGCATAATTGATAGATTTATTGCAAATATTTTAGAGAATTTTTTAAATAAACTTTATATAAAAATTTTATGAAAAGATGATTTTTTCAGTTTTGAAATTGCTTTTTAACAAAAGTTTTTTCTTTATCATTAATTTTTTTTCTAGTTTATAAGTAGCATGCAAAGATTTTGTAAAAGCCTTCATCATCATTATCACCATCACCATCATCATCATCATCATCATCATCATCATCATCATCATCATCATCATCATCATCATCATCATCATCATCATCATCATCATCATCATCATCATCATCATCTTCATCATTATCTTTATCATCATCATGAAAATTATCTTAGAAAAATAACCTTGTATTTTAAAAAATTTGTTCTCTGAATGTAACTTAATTGATTTTCTGCGTCAAAAATAAAAAAAGGTGGAAGAAAATATTCGAATGTAACATTTTGTGCACTCTGAGTTGAATCATTTAAATGTCTAATACCAAGAGAAACATTTAATGTACTTCTAAAAATTTAAGATGCAAATATATTAAAAACATAAATATTTATTTTATAATAAAAAGAGCTACTTTTTAAATTTATAATGCATTTACCCATCAAATAGTGCTTTAAAAGAAACTTTTAAGTGAGGTTTAAGACTTTTTATTACATATTTGTTTGCTGGTAGTTTTTGATTCCAAATTTCAATTGCATTATGTCTCATACTGGCCGTTACCCATAATTCTATGTCATTTGAAGAAATAAGTTGTTCACTTGCAATAGTATCAAATTTGATTACAATTTGATTATCTGGCACATTATCTGTTTTTTCATTTGTGTTTAAAGCAGTTCCAAGATCAAAAAAAGCAACATCAAAAAATAATTTGTTAACATTGCTTATATATGTAGGTGTAGCATTTTTGTTAACTCCCATGATATTTGAACCAACACTTTCAAGTCGCACATTATGAATACTGAGAACTGGAAAATTTGTCTTCGAAATTTCAAACTAAAAATACAATCAGGATTATCACATTTTATATAAAAACAGCCAACAGTGTTGTTTTTAACATTTTAAACAAAAATATAAAAAACTACTGTACAAATAAAAAAGGTTGTCAAAAATTACTGTGCAAACACTTTACAAGTATAAATTACTACAAAAGTAGTTACCTTAAAAAACAAATCTGATTTGAGCTTATTAAGCAATACTACAACCACAAAAGTACAAAGATAACTTGAGGTGACTTTTGGAGACAAATAATCATAATGTATTAATGGTGATCCAGTAAATAAGTTAATAAACTTTATAATTTTTGGTTTTTGCATACCTCCGGCATTTTTGTAATTAACTATCATACTTATAGAAAAGTTAACCATTGGAGTAATATCGCTAGTTGCTTTCATTAAAAAACTTCCTGCCACAGATGAGTCAACTAAAAAAAATAAGCATTTATATATATAACATAAATATATAATAATATAAACACAAACGTATTATTTGCATGTAATAATTAACTTGATGAATTAATAATAAACGAAGAAACTAAAATTTCAATTATAAAACATAATTGTACAAAGGTTTATAAACAGATCCATAAAAAAAATTAAAATTGCATTAAGAAAAGTATATAAACTAAATATAAAAATCTATATAATTATACAAGTTATATTTACTTATTTATAAAACTATGGAATGGAGATAATTTTTAACTTAAGTTGAATAATAATTGGAAGCCAAAAGAAATGTCACAAGTAAAGAAAAACTTAATAATGCATGCTGTAAAGAAAAAAATTCCTTACAAACAAATTTTTGAGCTTTATGATGTGGCTAAATCTAGAGATAGACACTTAAAAAAAAGCATTGTTCAGGCAGGTCAAAGATAACTACAGAACATCAGATAGAATTTTGTTAAGATAATCAAAACAAGATCTTTGTAAAGACACTGTCAAAGTAAATAACATTTTGAGCAAATGCTATGGTGTTAAGTACAGCATAAGTACTATAAAACATTGCTACATCAGCATAATTTGTTTGGTTGTCTTCCTGCCAAGAAACCATTAATTTTGTTTAATTTGATGCAGGTAATTTGGGTTGCTTGAACTAATTATTAATTTTGTTTAATTTGATGCAGGTAATCTGCATTGCTTAAACTAAGCAATGAAAGCAGACAATGAAACAGAGGAATAAAAAACAGCTGCTGAAAAAACTAAATATAAAGCAGAATAAAACAAAGAAAATCGAACAGATGTTCAGAATAAACATTTATTATAAGTAGAGCTTATAAGTCATAGTCAACACAAATTTTATAAAAGTTTAAAACAAATAACACTATAATAAAACAAACAATAAACAATATTTAAAATAAAATGATACAGGGTGTAAGAAAAAAACAAAAACATTATTGATTTTGCATAAACCTAATTTATGTAGTGGTAATAGTAAACTATTCTTCAGAATCGTGTTTATTATTACCAGTGTTTCGAAGAAGCTCAGCACAAACTGTTTACTACAAAAAATTGCCTACATCAGCATATTTTTTTTTGTCATCATCCTGCCAAGAAAACATTACTTTTAAAGAATTGCTTAGCCTGAATGAAGTTTGCTAAAGATCATTTGCATTGGACTTTAAAAGATTGGCCAAAAGTCTTAGTGACAAATAAAACTTTTACATGTTTGGTACAAATGGTATTAAGTACATGAGATGCTCAAAAGGTAAAAGACTTTAACTCCACTCATTCATGGCATCAAAGACATAATGGATCAGAATGCATATTTAGATATAATCAAGAATGCTATATTGCCACATGGAAAGACAAAATCTCTTGTGGCTCAATTTTTCAGCAAGACAATGATTTTAAGCACCATGCAAATTCTAGCATAAAATATTTATAATAAAGAATAAAATCAACTGATTAAAAAAACTGGCCTTCTTAAAGTCCAAATTTAATTGCTTTAGAACATATCAGGAAGCATCTTGATTGTCAACTGAAGGACAAAAAAAAGACTAATAAAAATGATTTAAGATTTTGGATTGTTCGGAAATTACTCTCATGGATGTTTTTATTAACTTAGTTAACTCTATGCCTTGTCGTTGTCAAGCAGTAAAGTCTAGAGGCTAGTCAAAAAAATAAATGTGCTGCAATGAGAAAATATAAAACAATTATAAATAGCATCTCTTTTTTTGAATTTTTAAAATTGTTTATAAACTTTTGCACAATGTTTTCAATAAATTTTAATATTCTTTCTTCAGTTAAAAGTAAATGTTTTTTTAAATTATATATTTTATTTATGTATCCTAAATAAATCTATAAAATACATAAACAAATTAATTACCAATTGATAATATAGTTGAACTTAAAAGTACAGTATAACAAGTCTCATTTTGCTTAACTAGTCCAGATACAGCAGATAAATGTTGAACCAAAAGAGTAACTTTAATATCATGAGCAGTACTCAATGATGATAAAGTGTGAAAAATTTCATAGGATATATTTAAAACATCATTAATATAAACATAAGTACTATTTGTAAAGTTTACTTTCAGCTGTGCATTTAGTACAGGCTCCACCTAAAAACATCACAAACAAATTAATAATATTAGAAATATATATTACAAATATGATAACATCAAAATATTTAAACATGTAATTATTTTAATCAATATTTTTTGTAGACATTTTATATGTATATTTTCATTTTTTCCTACATTGACATCATTTAGTAAAATTATTAAGAATTAATTGTACTTAATAATTACAAAGTCTGTTGATTGAGTCTTTAAAAATATATATATTATAAAGACATAAAGATCAGAATAAAACAGCAAACATGAACTTTAACTAAAACTATATACATATGAATATATATATATATATATATATATATATATATATATATATATATACACGCACACATATGTACATATATACATATATTTATTTATTTTTTTTTTTTTATTTGCATTCACTCCCAACAAGGCTGCAAGCAACCACTATTAAGTTGGGAGTTACTAGGAAAAAAAAGAACAGAGTTATAGAGCAAGAAAACGGTTGACAGAAGACTTGAAAAGTTGAAGGTTGTATGAGTCAGGAAAACATGAAGATGGGAGAGAGTTCCAAAGTATTGAAGTGCAGGGAAAAAAACTAGATGAATAAAAGTTTTTAGAGCATGCAGGAACAGATACAGTAAACGAATGAGACTTAGCTGAATGACAAGTAAAACGAGAATGAATTTTAGTTGATGGAACTAGAGATGATAACTCCTTTGAGCAGTGACCATGATAGTATCTGTAGAAAAGAGAAAGAGATGCAACTTTACGACGATGGGAAAGAGGTTCAAGCTTAGCAGATAGTCCAGGTCCAACAACATTTACAATGCGTTTTTGGACCTTGTTAAGAAGAGAAAGTGAATTGTTAGAAGAACCAGCCCAAATATGACAACAGTATTCCATACAGGGACGAATAAGAGATTTGTAGAGGTAGAGAATGGAATCAGAAGTAAGGAAATGGCGAGCACGATAAAGAGAAGCAACCTTAGCAGAAGCTAATTTAGCAATCGATTGTATATATGGTATACATGAAAGGTCAGTAGTAAGCGATAATTCAAGAAGACGTAATGAGGAGGACTCAGTAAGAGGATTGCCATTCATTAATATAGGAATGTTGACCATATTACGGTAGTTGTTTGCAGTAAGCAATTGGGTTTTTTTAGAGTTGAAATTCACAAGCCACTGTGAACCCCAATCTATTACTGAAGTGAGATCAGATTCAAGATCAGCTGCTTGTTCTAGGCGATCGAAAAGAGAAGACTTTTTGTCAAGACAGGAGTATAAAGTTGAGTCATCAGCAAAAAGAGCTACTTTAGATGAAAGGTTGTCAGGAAGATCGTTTATGTAGATAAGAAACAAAACAGGGCCCAGGATGGAACCTTGGGGAACCCCAGAAGTTACTGGAAATAAAGAAGAGTGTTGGCCTTCAAGGATGACTTTAATAAACCGGTTAGAAAGAAATGATTTGATAATCTCAAAAACTTTCCCAGAAACACCATATGAAGCAAGCTTATGGAGAAGACCAGCATGCCAAACTTTGTCGAAAGCTTTAGATATAGAGCAATAGCCCTAGCCTCACCGCCTCCATCTAATGCACGATAAAATCTTTCAGTTACAGCAGTTAGCAAGTCGGCCGTAGAGCGAGAGGATCGAAAACCGTATTGATTGTCTGACAGCAGTTTATTTGACTCAAGATGAGATGTGAGGAATTTGTTGATCAAAGACTCAAAGACCTTGCTAATAACAGAAAGAAGACTGATCGGACGATAATTGGAGGGGTCAGAATTTTCTCCAGAGTTTTTGAATATTGGAACCACAGATGCCATTTTCCAACAAGCAGGAAAACAAGACTCAGTCAAACATTTGTTAAATAGTTTAGAGAGAATTGAAGAAAGTTCTGGAGAACAATTCTGCAAGACTGTGACAGGAATGTTGTCTGGACCACAAGCTGTAGACGAGTTTAATTGAGATATGACTTTAGCAACAGAAGCTGGAGTGATTTGAATGTCTAACAATGGGTCAACCTGTTTGACTGGAATGGAAGGAAGAGAATGTCCATAAGATTCAAGAGTGGAATTAGAAGAAAATTTCTTTGCAAATAGTTCTGCCTTATCCTTGGGAGAGGTAATAAGATCAGTCCCATGAATGAGAGATGGAATGTTAGATCTACCCTTGTTAACAATGCTGTTGAAGATTTTCCAAAAGTCTTTAGAGCCTAACTTCTGCGATAAGATGCGAGATTTAGTGAACTGAGAATAATGGAGTTTAGCATCAGAAAGCACCTTTTTACATCGATTTCTTGCAATAATAAATAGCCGTTTGTTCTCAAGAGAGTTGTTCTTTTGAAAAAGATGAAAAAAATGATTACGATTGGATATAGCAGCCGCACAAGAAGGAGAAAACCATGGAGTAGAATGAGGCTTGACTTGAAACCGACGAGAAAGAATAAAAGCTTCCATTTCAGCCTGAATCTAGGAGGTTATGTAGGAGGCGCATTTGTCAGCTGAGAGAGAAAAAACATCAGCCCAAGGACCATCACGAAGAAAATCACGAAAGGAATCCCAGTCAGCTTTAGGGTAGTAGTAGGTGGTACGATGATAAGGTGAGCCCAAAAAAGAAGTACGAGAAGAAAGATTTATAGAGATCATTGCATAGTCAGAACCACCTAAGGGAGAAAAGGGAGAAACTGAACATAATCTAGGGTCAGAGACAAGACATAAGTCAAGGAGTGAAGGTAAATGATTAGGGTTGTCAGGAAAACGAGTCACAAAGTTAACTATCTGAGTAAGAGATTGAGAAATGCAGAAGTTAAAGGCTTTAGTGCCAGCAGGATCAGTGGTGTTAGAGCCAAGCCATTCAGTGTGATGGGCATTAAAATCACCAACAACAACAATATTGGCAGAGGGGTAAAGAGAGAGGGCATGGTCAGTTTGATCAGCGATAATATCTAAAAGAGTGCAGTCATGGGAAGAAAGAGAACAATAAAGAACAAAGAGAAAGGTGATAGAGTGAAGAGGTGCTAGGCGAAAGCACATAAAAGAATGGTCAAAGGATTCGAACCTGATTTCACGACAAATAGGGGAATTAATGCGTATGTATACCCCTAAACCTAGCATGTGACTATTGGAGTCTTTACGAATCAAAGGATAGTACCCATCAACACTGACATCTGAAGAAGGAATTGCAGAACTTAAATTTGTTTCACTGAGTGCAAGCAAGTCTGGTGAATTTTGCAGGAGGTAAGACTCAACTGATGGAAAGTTGCTTCGTAGACCGCGAATATTTGTAAAAGATATATTAAAATATTTAGGTGGTGGGGATGGTTTTTTAGGTTTTAAATTTTTGGTTACTTTGGTCATGATTTGGGTTTAATGAGAACTTGACTCATTCATAGATAGAGCACAGCCTCCTAATCAATGAGCTATGCGGTTGTCTCAGTCCTGTTAATTAACCCTAAGCCATGACATAGGGCTCCTTATGTGGCCTTGACAATGCACACCAAAAGCATTAACAGGGACACCATCCATGCGCAACATGGCACTGTTAATACTCTGATATTTTGCAGCTGTTGATGGAATCAGCCTCTCTGAGAGCTAACACAGAGTTCGGGAAACCTTACTACCAGCCGGCCTCAGCACCATTAAACTGAGTTTTAGAGCTGTACCCTCATATGGAGATAACAGGAAGAGGTGCATAGCCATTATCAAGGAGGCATAAGCAAAATTCTATGAGCAGAGGCAAGGAGATCCAGCATTCATCATCCTAGGCAGGAAACAATGTAACACAGGTTACATCTACGCCAGCCTAATAGATGAAGAAGGGGTTCGAGGCTGGTTAGCAGAACTTTTCTGCTTACCCCTAAAGTCTTTGCCTAGGAGGCCTTCTACAAGACAGTAGCAGGATGCAGTTAACATCTGCCCAAGATGAGTATTTTTATCGAGACACCATCTCTAGCCTTTACTCAACCAAGAGCCCCAAGGCAGGGGATGTTTAGCTGGATGCAGTTAACATCTGCCCAAGATGAGTGTTTTTATCGAGACACCATCTCTAGCCTTTACTCAACCAAGAGCCCCAAGGCAGGGGAATTTTTAGTCGGAGTTTATTTCTCCAAGCCTTTGCTTAAGAAGAGCACACTCTGCAAGGCAGCAGGGCTTGTGGCAGGTGGTACTGGGTTAAGTGATACCAGTAGCAAGATTGATCTCGATTATCCTGACCTGACCTGGTTATTCATTTATATATATATTTATTCATTTATATATATGCTTATACACACACACACACACACATATATATATATATATATATATATATATATATATATATATATATATATATATATATATATATATATATATATTAACAAAAAAAAACTACTTTTTATATGGTACTTTGAGTTTCATACCTATACAGCAACCATCCGCCATTGAATACAAAATAAAAAACAAAAAAACCAGCTAAAAATTACAAAATACTGTGTAGTGGGATCTTTATGTCACTAAAAGACATACTTGATGGCAACCAAAGAAAAAATAAAATATTAACTAATCACTGATGTCAAAAAAAGATAAGAGGAATTTATTCTTGAAATCAATTCATACATCTATACATATTGATGTATATCTAAATGTATACCTATAAACATACATATATGTATAAGTACATTTATGTATTTATATCTACTTATCTATTTATATATATACATATATACATTATATATATACATTATATATATACATATATATATATATATATATATATATATATATATATATATATATATATATATATATATATATATATATATATATATATATATATATATATATATATATATATATATATATATATATGTATATATATATATATATATATACATATATGTTTACCAACTTAAATGCTCATGTGGAAATATATATATTGGTGAGACCAAAAATATATATATACATATATGTTTACCAACTTAAATGCTCATGTGGAAATATATATATTGGTGAGACCAAAAAGAAAATCATTTCAAGAAG